TTAATGATGTTACTGGGTAAGTCTTCCACTAATAAGCAAGTGGACGAGGGCTCTTTCCCCCGAGTCCAGCCTCCTAAGCTTCTTTTCCATTCGGGCCACGCTGCCTATCCTACCTGGTCCTTGGCAGCAGCTCGGGCAGGTCACATCACCAGGCAAACGCAGGCTGCCTCCTGCTTCCTGTAAATAAGTTCTGCTGCTGCTCCGCCTCACCCGTTTGTCTTAGAAATAGTCTCGGACTGTTTCTGTGCTTGAAAGCGAGTTGAATACTTTGTGACAGAGGTCGACTGGCCCTCAAGACCAAAAACACTTGCTCCCTGTGCTTTTAAAGAAAAAGGTGTTCTCGCTTCTTTCTAGACTCTGAACCTAAGGACCTTATTCTTGCTCTGAAAAGAATCCTTGCCTTTGCCAGTGGGAGGGGAGGGGTGGACGACCGTGGCACCTGGCAGCCGGCTTGCTCACCGCTAAGGTTTCAGTAACCGAGTAGCAAGTGTTTTCCTACTCTGCATATATACTATTCTCACAGCAACCAGTTAATAGATTTCTTTTATTCTTGCTGGGCAAGAAGCAGACGAATCTTTGGGTGGGTGGGTGAGTGGAGGAATTGAGTTTTTTAATTAATCTATGAAAAAGTCAGCTAATTATTTGAGAAACTGATTCTAAGTGACAATATTTTTATAAATCTGTGAGCCAGTGCAAATATCTATTTTTGCTTTGTTTTACTATTTTTCTTTTTTTTTTTTTTCTTGTTTTTGTTTTTGGGCCATACCAGGTGGGCTCTGGGCCCGCTCGAGCAAATCGACGATCAACGGGAGGGCCTTTACCTTTACCTTACCTTTACCAGGTGATGCTCAGAGATCACTCCAAGTGGTGCTGGGGACCATAAGTGTGCTAGAGATCAAACCCTACCTACTGGTTCCAGAGCACCGTTTTACTGTTTTTCCAGTGTTCTTCATTTCCTTTTTCCTGAAGAACTTCCTTTAAATATTTCTTTTAGTACGGGTTGCGAATTCCTTCAGTTTTCCTGTGTCTGAAAATCTTTATTTCACATTCATTTTTGGGCAGATAGTTTTGCTGGGTATAGAACACCAGAGCAACAGATATATATTTTAATTTAGTTTTATTTTTATAAAGTTGTTCACAATTTATTACATTCACTGTCCCAACACCAATCCCACAACCATTATACCTTCCTACCCATCACCATTATTTCAAATTTTCCCAACCACCACCCAAGCCTGCCCTAAATAATTTCTTTTGTATTGCTTATTATAAATAATTTGCTAAAAATGATCAAAAATGGTTTCCTCAGGAAATCGTGTGCAGTATCTCACTCTGGTGCCTTGTATAAGAGATTACTAACATTTTGTTACAGGTTGAACCTTGTATGCTAATATTTCTTTTTTAACTGAGATTGGCTACCTTCTACTTTACACCCATCCTTTGTGGTGTGCTACTCCCAGTTCACCAGTGGTGTAGAGGATAAGATGTTGCATGGTGGCAAATGCAGCCACGCACTTCAGGAATTTAAAATTTTAAATGGGGTGATACAGCTGGAGTTAAATTTTTAACTGGGTGCTGACTTTGGGGTCCGGAGGCATCTCTGCAGCTGGTTGTTCTCTTCCAACTTTAATCTGTGAGTCTCTGGATCATGGTCATTAATGAGCTTATATGACGCCAGATGCAGTTCATAGACGTGACTGCCAGGCTCCCGGAAGAACAGGGGGATGTGGGGAGGTCGCCCACCCCCGACTTCATGAGAGCCTGGAGATTTCGGTCACAAAACCCGCATTCCTGAGTTTTTTGACAGATTCATTCATTCATGGCTGAGGCTCACCCCAAGCCTGTGGAGATCAGCCGTGAGCATTGTGGCAATTGGGTTCTGGAGGTTTTCAGCTGCTGAGGCTCTCAACAGATTTGTTTATTTTTGGTTTGGGAGAAATTGCTTGTTTATGTATGACCTTTCTCCCAGCCTTTGCAGGAATTTAAAGCTACTGTCTTTTCTCGTCTGCCTCCTCCCGATGAGAAATCTCTTGTCTTTTCCTCTCTATGTAATTTGTCTTTTTCTCTGGCTATCTTAAATATTTTTCTCTTTGTTGTTGGCTTTAAGCAGTTTATTTGTGATATGGGGCTGAAGCGATAGCAAAGCGGGTAGGGCGTTTGCCTTGCACGCGGCCAACTTGGCTGACCCGAGTTCGATTCCTCCACCCCTCTCGGAGAGCCCGGAAAGCTACCGAGAGTATCTCGCCCGCAGGGCAAAGCCTGGCAAGCTCCCCGTGATGTGTTTGATATGCCAAACACATATTCAGTATGCCAAACACAGTAACAAGTGTCACAATGGAGACGTTACTCACTCAAGCAAATCGATGAACAATGGGAGGACCGTGACCATGATTTGTGATATGACTTAGCTATTTTCCATCCTTTTTGGTGCTATTTTATTCCCCGTTAGGAGGTTTACGGTTTTCATCAGCTTTGGGAAATCCGTGGCTGTTGTTTCCTCAAATGCTTTTCTGTCCCTCACACCAGTAGTTTTGAATTATTTTTAAACATTTCTTTAGTTTTTGGGTCATACTCAGCTGTTCTCAGGGCTATCCGGGACTCTGTGCTCAGGCATCACACTTAGGAGACCATATGGGCTGCCCGGGATCGAACCCAGGTTGGCCAGTTGGGAGGCACTGTACAGTCTCTCTGGCCCCATCCATACCATGCAGTTTCCAACTGCAGACTCTCAGGGTCTTAGGTGCATATCTTTTAAACTGTTAAAAGTTGTCCCACAGCTTTTTGGTGGTTTATGGTTTTGAATCTTTACTTTCCTTTTTGTGTTATTCTGCATAGTTTTTTTATGTCTTCAAGTTCCCTAATCCTTCCCGCTGTGGTATCTAATCTGCTATAAACCGACAATAAATTTATGACAAAATCGACGTACTAGGGAATAATCAAGCTCTAAAGTTTGACTTTGTTATAAAATTTCTTAATGGAGACTTTTCTTTGGTATGTTTGTTTTTAGAGAGAGGGGCCACGATTTTGCCTCTGCCCCTGAATTCTTTAGGCTTTGATAGCTAAGTGATTGGAACCGTGTTCTGCCAGGGTCTCCTGTCCCTTGGTCTGCATGTACAGCAGCTACTGCCCCTGCATCTGCTCCTAAGATGTTAGTCCCACCCACGTCCTTCCACCTAGAAGGTGCAAGGTGCCACCGCCATCACTTCCATTCAGTCACAGCAGTAGCAGGTTGTTGCCATCCTCAAGGGTTTTCCTGTCCCTTGTATTTTTGTCCTAGTTTATTCTCTGCTTCCCACAACACTCACAAAACAACCATCTACTTTGGAGACTTTCCGTTGGCTTCCAGTGAATTGCACTGGAACAGAACATAAGACGCCTCAATGTTTGGCTGCCTCCTACCTTGCTGCCATTATCTCGGGCCATTTCCCCCCTCTCTTGTGTTAGCTACCGTTTTCAAAACTAGTTTGAGCAGTACCCAGAGGGAAGTATATTTTACCTTGCATTCTAATACAAGGCAACGTATACCCTGAATTTCACTGAGCCCAAGGTCTCGAAAGTCAAGATGCCTCTGATATCTTGATGTAAAAAGTCATCACTTTTTGTGGCTTTATCATCTGCACCGTAGCACTGTCCTCCCACTGTTCATCGATTTCCTCAAGTGGGCCCAATTACGTCTCCATCTCCATTGTGAGACTTCTTGTTATGTTACTGTGTTTGGCATATTGAATACGTCACGGGTAGCTTGCCAGGCTTTGCCATGCGGGTGAGACGCTCTCGGTAGCTTGCCGGGCTCTCTGAGAGGGGCAGAGGAATCGAGCCCGGGTTGGCCCCATTCGGCCGTGTGCAAGGCAAATGCCCTGCCGCTGTGCTATCGCTCCAGCCCGGCTTTCTCATCACCTAGACCTAAACACGTCGGAATTGGACTGAGAACACTTCTTCTGTTAGGAAAACTGGTGGTAAGTCCTACAATGAATACCAACCCAAATAAAACAAGTTGTGGTATCTGAAACAAAAATCTCCTGCAACAGTGCTTACCTTTACTGGTGTTTGCTGTTCTCTCTGTTTATTCCATTGCCTTGGGGGAAGTCCCTCAATGGTCTGCTGTGGCCTCTCCCACCATTTGCGGTTTCTCCGATGCACCACACCCACGGCTGCTTCCTCGTCACCCTGCAGGTTTCTGTTTGAATGTCCCTCTCCAGGGACCAGAGTGATAGTACCGCTGGCGGTGTGGGTGCTTGCCTCGCATAAGACTGGCCCAGATTCGATCCCCAGCACCCCATGCCGTCACTGAGAACCACAAGGGGTGATCCTTGAGCACAGAACCAGGAGTAAGCCCTGAGCACAAGCTGAGTATGGCCCCCGTGCAAAACAAAAGAAAGAAGTCGACTCTTCAGAGAAGCCCTCCTTGAATCACGCCTTCTAAGCGGGTTCCTTTCTACCCTCTCCTATTCCTTCGTCCTAAGCCCTGTGTTTCTCTGTCATAGCTTTCATGCTCAGGCACCTTATTTATTTTCTGTTTCTCCTTACACATTGAAAGGGCAGACATGGGTCCTCCCTCTCACCACCAGGTCTGGCATACAGAGACAGTCCTATTTTGTCTGTCTCATAGGACTGTGTGTGTGTGTGTGTGTGTATGTGTGTGTGTGTGTGATGTGTCTCGGGAGAAGTCTGGAGTGGTAGTCAGTGGGGAGAAGAGGGAAGCAGGAAATCAGACAACAGAAAGAGAATGCCAAGTTTCCACTCTGGTCCTGTCGCATGACTGTGAGTGCCGGGTTGGCACAGGGTGAGCATGTGCAGCCTGGACAGTCCGCTGTTCCTCGCACAGCTCACATGTCAGGGATGGTGGGATCATTTTGTTCTATGAACAGCAGATGCCAGGGCTGCTGCTGCCACGTTCTCGGCTCTTGAGGAAAGTAGCTGCTCCCTTGATTTGACCTGGAGGGTTTAGGCTGCCCTATAAAAAAAATTTTTTTTTTCATGATTGATTTCTTCCCTTTTAGGCACATAGAGATGAAATCCAGCGCAAATTCGATGCCCTTCGTAACAGCTGCACTGTGAGTATTCACCAAAGATGACTAAAATAGCATGAAGTTGACACAGGGACGGGCAGAGGGGCGTCTTCGTGGTAGTGACTGAGTTTTGATATGCTCTGCTGGCATGATGTGGCCTTGCGGATCAAGTTTCTGGGCCCCAGCCCTTCCCGAGGGTCTCACCGGCTACAGGCATACTCAGGGCCATTCTTCAGGTCGTGGGGAGGGTTGTTCTCTCAGCAGAGCCACTTGTCCCTGTAAGTAGCTGCAGCCTAGGCCCCGGGGAAGCTGCCCAGGCCAGAACAAAGACTGATGTGTTCTCCTGTGGAGGTAGAAGTGCTAGTTTCCTAACGGACGAGACCTGACTTCCTGACACGCAAATTCAGAATCCAGGGCCCAATGGGAAATGTCATTTACAGCAAGAGAAGTAAACTCTGTGGGGCTGGAGCAATAGCACAGTGGGTAGGGCATTTGCCTTGCCTTGCAATCGACCTGGGTTCAGTTCCCAGCCTCCCATATGGTCCCCCAAGCACCGCCAGGAGGAATTTCTGAGTGCAGAGCCGGGAGTAACCCCTGAGCATTGCCAGGTGTGTCCCACCCCCCCCCCCCCCAAAAAAGTGAATTCTGTGAGGAGGTTACGCGGAAGGGTAGGTCGGTGGGAGCTTGAGGTCTTTTAGGGGGATCCTGAGGTTGGGGACCCAGCCAGCAGTGCTTGGGTTCAGGGTCTCTCCCCAATGGTCCCATGGCAGGTGGAGGCTTGCCACAGGTGCCGTAGCTCAGTCCCGCCTCTCTGATGAGAAAGCAGAGCTAAAATGGCCTCTCTGATGGGGAGGCCGTCCTGATCCCAGCTCCCCTTCCCTCCTGGGGTCCGTGCCCTGTTCTGGCGCCTCCTGCGTTTCAGGAAGCTCATCTCCACTTGTGTTACTCGCATAAGGGGGTCTCTGGAGATGCCCTGCAGCCCCGCACGCAGAGTCTTATTTCCTCGTCCTGAACATCTTTGCCACGTGGGACATTAGGTCCTGACGGGACCTGCCTTTTGCTTCCCTTTTTTTAACTTGTTTCTGGGGCCACACCTGGCAGTGTGCAGGTGTGCAGGGGCTCCTGGCTCTGCTCTCAGGAATTACTCCTGGCATTGCTCGTGGGATGTTGGGGATCGAACCCGGGTTGGCTGCAGGCAAGGCAAGTGCTCCTGCCCCGGCTCCTTTAATAGGTGCAACGTGCCCCCACTGAAGCACACTCATCTTCAGCATCTGAGATGGCAGAGTTTTTGCATCCGCAGCTGTGCCCCACAGCTCAGATCAGCATAGAAACCCTTCTCAGCTCCCAGCAGCCCCTTCCCATCCTCATTCTGCCACCTCCTTTGCCCAGAGGGTAACCATCATTCTCACCTTTGATGCCCTAGAGGTGCTTGTTCTTTCCTGCTCTTGCCCGGTCCTTTTGGGGTGGGCGTGTGGGGGAGGGGAGTGAAGGGGTAACTCCTGGCTCTGCACTCAGGAATCACAGTGCGTGGGGGACCCTATGGGGTGCTGGGGATTGGACCCAGATCACCCGTGTGCAAGAATAATGCCTGACCCACTGGGCTCTCACTCCGGCTCCCCTCTTGCCTGTTCTTGAACTTCACGTAAATGAAGTCATAGAAGATGCATGTGTTCTAGGTTTAGTGTTTGTTTTCGTACATGTCTATGAGATTCATTTGTATTGTTGTATCCATCAAGAGTTTGTCCTTTTTTATCACCATATAGTGTTTCCAGTATATGGACAGAACTGGTTTTTTCACTCTCCTGTTGATGGACTTTAGGTGTGTTTCCTTGATGGGCTAGACTGTGGGAGAGCACCTGGTATCTAACCATTGGTGGAAGCAGCTTTCAAATAGGATGAGCATACACCCACGAGCAGTCGAGGTCCCAAGGTGTGCCTCTTCTGCTGCCTGGCATTGTTACCTGGCAGGTTTCTCCTGGGTCTCCTCAGGCCAAGTGCTGGAGCGGGGTGGCTGGTCTTCGAGATGTCTCTGGATTTCTTTCATCTGCTCCTTCCTTCCTTCACGAGCCGAGGTGTTCTGTCTCCCTCCTCCTTTGCCCTGCTTTCGAGTTTGAATCGTCCTGTTTTCTTGTACCTGCTCATGGAATGCAAATGGTTTTGCAATCGGGTTCTTGTATTACCCAGAGCTTGGCTTTTGGTCCCACCCAGGGATGCTCAGGAGTCGCTCCTAGCAGTTCCCAGGGGGCATGTGCAGCACCAGAGGTTCTACAGGGTATGCAAAGCTTGCATTTAGCTTGTTCATCTATCTCCTCAGACTCTATATTACTTTTTTCCTTTTTTCTCCAAAAAGAAACCTGGGTGCCTTTTAAATGTATACATTAGTAATCCTTTGCCTGGAGTTTTCTTTTCTCCTCCTTAAGTCTTTTCATTTAAGAAGGGGTAGGGGGAAAGTTTTTTTTCCTGCTTCATTGAGGTAGCACTGTAGCACTGTCCTCCCATTGTTCACCAATTTGCTCCAGCGGGCACCAGTAACATCTCCATTGTGAGACTTGTTGTTACTGTTTTTGGCATATCGAATACGCCTTGGGGAGCTTGCCAGGCTCTGCCGTGCGTGCGGGCGGGATACTCTCGGTAGCTTGCCTGTCTCTCCTAGAGGGATGGAGGAATCGAACCCAGGTCGGCTGCGTGCAAGGCAAACGCCCTACCCGCTGTGCTATCGCTCCAGCCCTTTGAGCGAAAAGGAAAATAATTACCTGGTCAATTTTGAAGAGTTTCCATGTACCTCTCTGTTACCCACTCTCCCGTGCTTCATTTTGCTTCTTTTTTCCCTCTCATCTTTGAAATGGGAAATGCAGTTCGAACAGACCAGGCTAATACCTCGGCACCACCTCCATTAGGCCACTTCCTGTTTGGGTTTGATTTTGGTGCCATGGGTCAAATCCAGGGTCTTACATATACAAGAGCATGTGGTCCTGTCCCTCCTCCAGTACCCCCCCCCCCAGCTGTATCCCTGGCCCAATTTACTTAATTTTTGTACTCTTTTATTTCTCAAAGGTTTGTCTCCTTCCCCCCATAGTGACTGTCAGTGCTTCTCTTCCTTCTCGCATTCTGTGGAAAAACCTCTGGGGCTCCCTCTGAATGGGAGCCATGAGAGAGTGACCACTGCCCACAGTGTGGCTAGCACAGCTGGGGGCCTCGGGGATCCAGACTGTGCCCGCTGGGTGACTCTGTGGCCACACCTCCGGCAGACCGACCCGTTGCTGGCTGTCGACTCGCTTTGTCGGCGTGCTCTGGGGACTGGGCCAGGGAAGCCGCTGAGTATGGTTGGTTCCGGCACACATGCAGGGTTCGGGAACAGCGAAGGGGACACTGAGTCAGTCGTGCAACCATAAAGGCAGAAACAGCGCCTGCCTCCCAGATGCCCGCAGGAAGCGGCGAGAGCAAGGGCGCCCCAGACCATGGCCTGCCCTGCGCACGGCCCCAAGGAAGGGGGCACGGTACCCTGTCGACTCGATTTCTACTTGAGAAGGTGATTCCACTCCTTGAAGACAGTGTGGGGGGCGCAGAGAGATAGTCCAGCGGGGAGGGTGCTTGCCTTGCACGTGGCTGACCCGGGTTCAATCTCCGGCATCCCATATGGTCCCTGAGCACTGCCAGGAGTAATTCCTGAGTGCAGAGCCAGGAAGAACCCCTGAGCACTGCCAGGTGTGGCCCCAAACCAATAAACAAACAAAAGAAGTTTGGGGGTCAAAGAGATCATACAGTGGGTAGGGCACTTGCCTTGCACACGGCCAACCTAGGTTCAGTACCTGGCTCTGTGTAGGGTCTCCCCTGCTCACACGGAGCCAGGAGAGAAAGCCCAGAGCACTGCCGGGTGTGAGACACAAACCAAAACCAAACCAACCAACCAGCCAACCAACAAAAAACTCCCAGATTGAATCACTCATGGCAGTACCAGCAGAGAGATCTCACTTAGACTTTAGCGGGTACTGGTGTGTCCCACCGGTGGCTCACACATGGATGGGGCTCAGTTAAGACAAACTGCGCACTGGCCGTGTGTCTCAGGCACATCCCTCGTTCCTTTCTAGTCACTGCTGTCCGAGATCATTTCCTAAGGAAACTTCTGCTTTGGGATGGGGGAGACGCTCCCCTCAGAGCTCAGTTGACTGGAGGCCTCAGTCATCAATGTTTTTTAAAAAGCCCACAAAGGTTTTCAAGCCCAAGACCGTTTCTCTCTTGGAAAAAGGTTTCTAAAAAGGATTTGATTCAATCTGGCACCTAAAGCCCCACCTCAGTCTGTTTTGGAGGGGAGTTGGTGGGCAAACATATGACAGAGTTTTAATTATGAATCAATCTGTCAGCTATAAGATTAAAAATAAATAATATGCAAATGGCTTCCTTCAAGAGAGAGGGAGGCATTAAAATAGGACTCGGGCTCCGTGTCTTCTCAGCCAGATGCTCATTATCTGACTGCTTTCTTCACTCCCAGAGTGCCAACCCACGTTCCCCTGGGAACCGTCCCTCTGCCCAGTCAGGCGGCCAAGGTTGAGAGGTGGACATCCACTGCTCAGAGCTGGGAGGTTCACAGGGAAGCTTAAAAAGCAACAGCGAACCCCAAGGGAAGTTGTTTTTTTTTTTTTCCGCTCTTTTGGACATTGAGAGCAGATCATTTTTTCATATCCTTGTTTTCTCTTGGAACTGTACCGGGATCTCTTATCTGCTAAAGCAGCACATAGGACAGCTTCGTGGCGGGCATTCTCTTCCCAGCGGAGATGGACTCAGCCTTGAAGCTTCCGTCCTTGCATTTCTCTTTCTTTGGGCCCAAAAGGTTAAAGGCTCCTAAGGCAGTGGCCAGACCCTGCCCCTTTGTTGTGGAGAGAAGGTGCTCACAGCCCCCAGCAGGCCTAAGCAGGCTTCTCACACTTATTTGGCTAAGTGTCATGGATCAGACTTCAAGGACACGCCCTTGGAGAAGAGTCACAAATGGCCTGGGGCATGAGCTTGGTCTCAGCCAATTCAGAAAACGTGTATGTGTAAGGGATGTGTGTCACACTTAGCACCACAACTCCTGCCACCCAGAATAGTCACAAGGTAAATACCAACTTTTAGTTAGTGTTTGGACCGCACTTGGTGCTCAGGGCTTACTGCCTGGGCTTAAAGAGCACGGCGTGGGCGGGGGGGGGGGGGGGGGGGGGGGGGCAATGGGTGACTCATGCAGATGCATGGACACACACACACAGTCACTGATTCCTTTTTTTTTTTTGCTTTTTGTGCGATGCTCAGGGGTTGCTCCTGGCTCTGCACTCAGGAATTACTCCTGGCGGTGCTTGGGGGACCATACGGGATGCGGGGATCCAACCCGGGTCGGCTGCATGCAAGACGAACACCCTCCCCACTGTGCTTTCGCTCCAGCCCCAGCTTCCGACTCTTGTCCAAGGAGCACACCCAGATAGTGGCAAACCACAGAACCAGCCCCAGAGGACAGACATAAGCCCCCTGCAGAGCAGATGACAGTGGCTCTTGGGAAAGGATTCAAAATTTCCACACCACTGGGCCTCTCACTGTTGAAGGCAAAGGAACAGTCTTGACACTTCATTGACTTTTTTCAAGGTTTTTTTTTTTTTAACGTTTTATAGCCTGGTTTGGGTAGAAAAAGAGGAGGTGCTTATAACATGTTACATGTGTGTTTCCACGGATCAAAGGAAGGGAGCGAGTCCCAGAAGCTTATGTAGACCTTTGAATGGCAAAGTGAGTTGTTTTGCCGTTATTCATTTTCTTTATTCTTTTATTTGGTGTTTGGGCCACACTTGGCAGTGCTCAGGGCTTGCTTCTGGCTCTGCGCTCAGGAATCAGATCACTCCTGGTGGGCTTGGGTGTTCATATGGGGCGCCAGGAATCAAACCAGGGCTGGCCACATTCAAGGAAAAACCCCTACCAGCTGTAGTCTATAGCTCCAGCCCTAACTCACCTCCCACCCCCACAGGGCTAGGAATTGAACCCAGGGCCTCATACACGCACAGCGAATACTCTGCAGCTGAACCACATCCTTCGCCCCCCTTCCTCTGTTCTATGTGAACAGATTTTCTATTACATGATCGGCTTGTTCGTTAATTCCTTTTGGGTGGGCGTGTTGTGGAGGAGCGGCCACGTCTAGTGAGGCTTGGGGGACCACGTGGTGGCAGGGACTGAGCCCAAGGCTCCCTCATGCCAAGCATCAGCTCCAGCCCTTTGATCCATCTCCTTCGCCCCCTTGACTAACATTATTCCTTTATTTATTTGTTTGTTTATTTTTGCTTTTATTTGGGGTCAGAACCAGTGATGCTCAGGGGTTACTCCTGGTTCTCTACTCAGGAATCACTCCTGGCGGTGTTCGAGGGACCCTGTGAGATGCTGGGAGTCGAACCCAGGTCGGTCGTGTGCAAGGCAAAAGCCCTCCCCCCATACTATCGCTTTGGCCCCTTGATTCACATTTTTTATCCCTATCTTCACATAATTCATTCAGGTAAAAGAGCATGCAAGAAAATTCAGATCATCAAAACAATAGAAACCAGGGGTCGTAAATGAAGAATCTGCCTTCATCGGTGCCACTGACTTGGGGTTCCAGAACAATCCCATTCTGCGGGTGTTCCAGGAGGTCACTCTCCCGTGTGCTTCCAGGCCAGGCAGCCTCAACCTCATGTGCTGGGCCAGGGGACGGCAGAAGCACAGGGGCATCGATGGAGACGTTGTCAATCCGGGGTGAAAAACAGATGGTGCAGAAAGGGCTCTCATCACACAGGAAGCCAGTTGGGCTGCTCTTCAGTCCTGCTTGTTGGTCTTTGGAGACTTTCCTGTGTCCCCGAAGGGGTGTTTCGGGGGTCCCTGGCTGTGCCTGAGGCGGGCAGCACGCTGGCAAGTGTTTCCTGGTTCCTTCTCCCCACTAAAGGAGTTTTGGCCAAGGATCTGACCAGGTTGCCTTCTTGCTCCTGTAGGTCCATCCCCCCCTCTCCCCCCAGCCCCAGGGTCTTCAGGCCAACCCGGTAGGAGGCCCCCGCGCGGCTCTTGACGTCCAAGTGCGTCTTCCTAGGCCACTTGCCACATTAAGAGCTTATCAGCTCAGTTAACGAAATGAAAAGCTGTGTTTTCTGAGCCACATCCAATTAAATGCTTTTAATCAATGTGCTTGCATGTCGTGTGACTGGGAATATTTTTTTTAATTGATTAATCAAAGGAAGTTAACAGGGAATTAGTGAGAGAAACTGCGGCAGCATCTCAGCCACTGAGTCTACTTGAGGTTTGGAAATTGGAAACAATTAATAACCATAGGCTTCAAGGCATTTCCTTTTAATTTACTCCTTTTTGTTACATAAAATTTAATTTACTGCCTCTGTGGCTCATTCTAGCTATTATTAGAAAATTGCCTTTAAACTTCTAAAGTATTATATGCAAAACCCTCTGCCAGCACCAGTGCTGAGCATCAAGGCAGAGAATAGGAAGGCTAAATGTACAGAAACCATAGTCATTCTGCCACTGAGCAGGGAAATAATTTTGCAAAACCAGATTAGATCTCTCTCAATAAAACAACAATTTTATATATATATGCCTTCCCATTTTCTGATCGCTTACTGCATAATAAAGCCATTCGGGTGACACTCTGGTGCAATCTTGCCATCTCAGCGTCCTTCTAAGGTCCTCTTAATTTTTTTTCCCTTTGTGCCATGAAATTAAATTTATTGCCCAAGATATTATTCAACTAACTCTTGGTGTCCTTTGCTGTCAGTCTTCGCTGTTTTGCTCTGAGACTTGCCCTAAGCCCAGTGTCCTCTAGATGGTATCATGGGCTTTTATCTTAATTAGCTGGCTGTGATACCAGACTTTCTATGATTCTGCTCTCCCACATTTGCAGGGTCCTCATTATCGCCCACTAAAATTAAGTGGCCCCTTCCATACAGCAGTATGTTCTTTTGATTTGCCTGTGCTATATTTTTTCCTGACGGCCCCGAGTTGGAAGAATTCTGATTAGATTTTGAGTTAAGACTCTGAGTTAGAAGGAAGAATTTTCTTTTTACAACTGCGATGTGTGTGTGTGTGTGTTTCTGTGTCTGTGTGTGACTGTGTTTGTGAGAGAGGGAGGGAGGGAGAGAAGAGAAAAGGTGAGCGAAATGAGAGGGGCAGGTGAGGCTGGCCCTCAGGGGTGTGCCAGCAGATGTGTGAGCAGCACACAGTTTCCCTGTGCTCTGCAGGACAGACCTCCAAGGTTCTAAAAGCACTTCCTCCATTACCACCAATCTGTCCTTTCCACCACTGACTTCCTTCCTCTTTCAGGTCATCACAGACCTGGAGGAGCAGCTCAACCAGTTGACCGAGGACAATGCCGAGCTCAACAACCAAAACTTCTACTTGTCCAAGCAACTGGATGAGGCTTCGGGCGCCAGCGATGAGCTTGTGCAGCTGCGGAGTGAGGTGGACCATCTCCGCCGGGAGATCTCAGAGCGGGAGATGCAGCTCACCAGCCAGAAGCAAGTAAGGGACAGTCCCTGAAGCTCCCAGGACCAAGCCCGGCCTGCAAATGCGCTCTTTCAATAATAATAATAGTAGTAGTAATAATTCCATTTTATCTTGAAGATTTGAAATTTATTATTATTTTTTAAATTTTTATTCATGAAACACCATAAGGTGCAGTTGTAGACTTAAAAATTTTTGTGCTTGGGTTTCAGTTATATATATCGAGTACCCATCCCTCCACCAATACCCATTCTCCACCACCACTGATCCCAGTATCCCTCCCACCCCCCCATCCTCCCCACCCCACCCTGCCTCTGTGGCAGGGCATTCCCTTTTGTTCTCTCTCTCAAAGGACGGGTGCTGTGGTTTGCAAACGAGGCATTGAGTGGCAATCATGTTTGGTCTAGAGTCTACTTTCAGCATGCATCTCCCATCCTGGGAGGATCCTCCCAACACCCTTTATTTGGTGCTCCCTTCTCTATCTGAGCTGTCTTTTCCCCTAGCGTGTGTGGCTGGCCTCCAAGCCATGGAGTAAACCTCCTGGTACTTATCTCAGCTATTTTGGGGTGTTAGTCTCCTATTTTGTTAGTTTATGTTCCCCAGATGAGTGCAATCTTTCTATGTCTGTCCCTCTCTTTCTAGAAGACTTAAAATTTAAAATGTGGCTTTTAAAAGCATGATTCTTTCTTGGGGCTGGAGCAATAGTACAGTGGGTTGGTGTTTGCCTTGCATGGGTTTTGCCCCTGGCATCCCATATTCCTAGCCTGCCAGTAGTGATCCCTGAGTATAGAGCAGGTGTGGCCCAAACCTCCCCCCAGCCCAATGGCAGGGTTCTGGGGCTGGAGTGATAGCACAGCGGGTAGGGCGTTTGCCTTGCACACAGCTGACCTGGGTTCGATTCCCAGCATCCCATATGGTCCCCCGAGCACTGCCAGGAGTAATTCCCGAGTGCAAAGCCAGGAGTAACTCCTGAGCATCACCGGGTGTGACCCAAAAAGCAAAACAAAACAAAACAAAACAAAACCAAAAAAAAACCAAAGGCAGGGTTCTTTTCGTTTGGGTTTAATTTAAAAACTAGACCCCAGTGGGTATGGCTCTTGCCTTACTCGCAGCATCTCCTATGGTTCCCCGTGCACCGCCAGAAGTGATTCCTGAGTGCAGAGCTGGGAGTGACCCCTGAGCATCACCAGCTGTGGCCCCAAAACCAGGAAAAAAATATATATATATATGGAAGGGGACGCCACTCGTGAGAAATGTTCTGCCTGGAAGTTGGCCCCAGCGAGGGCCCACGACCCACTTGGGTGGGCTTGCCCCTGTCTGTGCAAGAGAAAGACAGGCTCTCTGGCCGACTGTGGCTGGGGATGTTCGCGGGGTTGAGCCTGAGCTGACAAAAGTCACCGCCAGGAGACCCTCATTGGCTGCCAGGCCCGTGACCCAGGCTCCTCTTTGCAGACGATGGAGGCACTGAAGACCACCTGCACCATGCTGGAGGAGCAGGTCATGGACCTGGAGGCCCTCAACGATGAGCTGCTGGAGAAGGAGCGCCAGTGGGAGGCTTGGAGGAGCGTCCTCGGCGACGAGAAGTCCCAGTTTGAGTGCCGCGTGCGGGAGCTGCAGCGGATGCTAGACACTGAGAAGCAGAGCAGGTGGGCTTCCCGGCGGCCTTCTCCCGCCATCCCCGCTCACTCGGGCTCAGCTGCTTCCTGGGGCTTGACCCTTGCGGGCCTGAAGGGAGAGGCTGTCGGGTACACCCCGAGGGATTGGCCTGCGGGGGGCTGAGTCTGCCCCGCTGAGCGCTGAGTCCAGCCTGCCGGGGGCTGCGTCTGCCCCACCGAGGGCTGCGTCTGCCCCGCCGAGGGCCGAATCTGGCGTCGCCCTGTCCACTTAGCCCGGGTACAGGTGGGGGCGTGAGAGCAGGGCGTGTAGCAGCACTCTGTTGGTGGGTAAGGTAAAGGTAAAGGTAAAGGCCCTCCCGTTGATCGTCGATTTGCTCGAGCGGGCCCAGTCACGTCTCCATTGGAGACTTTGTTGTTATTGTGTCTGGCATATCGAATACTCCCGGTAGCTTGCCGGGCTCTCCGAGAGGGGCGGAGGAATCGAACTCGGGTCGGCCATGTTGGCCGCGTGTAAGGCGAACGCCCTACCCGCTGTGCTATCGCTCCAGCCTGTTGGTGGGTGTGCTGCTCAGATGGTTCCTGTGGGTGAGGCCACTGGGTGCTCTGCAGTGGGCGCGTCACCAGCCTGGGCCTCTGGGTTCTGTGCGGCGGCACGGTCCTGGGCAGTCAACTTCCTGCGCAGCACCCCTGCCGTTCCCCGTGTTCTGTCTCCAGGAAACTGAGAGTCAGTCCAGCGCAGGTCTTTGCCTGCCTGCCCGAGTCTCCCCAGCGGTATTCACCCCCTCCCGGGCCCAGGCAAGCGGGCCCACTGCGCTGCCCACCCTCTCACATGCTGCTGTCCACACGGGAGAGAGTCACGGATTGGAAGATTTGTGTTGATGGGTCTCACACCGCTCACGGCAGGAAGGTGTTTTATGTGAACAAAATTGGTTTTTCACGCCCGTTTGCCCTCACGTGGAAAGAAACAGTCCTGGAGAGGGTGTGTCTTTTTCCAGTTGGCACCGAGCAGGAGCAGGGCTGTAGCTGGGCTCGTGTTGGCCTCACGACCTGGCGTTCGTACCATGAATGATCCCCGTCCTTCCTGACCTCGCCCGCGCCCCCTCTCCCTGCCTTCCCGGGCCCTCGGAACACCTCCAGCACAGTGAACTCTGCATAGGCTCAGCTAGACTCAGCTCACTGGGCTGGGTGTCGTAAGCTCTGCTAAGTCCCTGTGACTAAAGAAGGTCAGAGGGGCTGGAGCGATAGCACAGTGGGTACACAGCCGACCCAGGTTCGATCCCTGGTGTCCCATATGGTCCCCTGACTATGCCAGAGAAATTCTTGAGTGCAGAGCCAGGAGTAACCCCAAAGCATTGCTGAGTATAACAAGAAAGAAAGAAAGAGAGAGAGAGAAGGAAGAGAAGGAAGGAAGGAAGGAAGGAAGGAAGGAAGGAAGGAAGATCTGAGGCAAAAAAATGACAGTCCTTAAGGAAAGAAAGTGGTAGGAAGAATCTCTTTCTTTGAAGGTCCTCCTGGCTGGGACATCTACATGAGGGGGAAGAGGGCTATTTGGTCACAGATGTCCCATCCCTGCTTCCCTCTGAGTTCTGGGGACTGACCCGTCCTCACCCTCAGTTTTCAAGGATCCTCCCCCCCTCGAGTCCGACTGTTATCCTAGCTGTTTGCAGAACCTTTCAGGGACTGTCTCGGGAGTTGGGAATCTGTCTGCAGAGCAAAACAGGAACTGGGAACACAGGGTGACCAGCCGTGCCCAGAGGCCCAGATCTGAGGACCCTTCAGGGGTGATCGTGTAGGAGCATGGCTGTCCCCCTCTATGCCCCTCCCTGCCCCTCTTGTCTTTTTGTGAGATTCTGAGATGCGTCAGCTATAGTTCTTAGCACTTGTCGTCTGTACCTGCAAACGCACGTCATCAGAAATAGGGAAGTGCAGGGGGTCCACACTGGGATGCAGAGACACGAGGGGGAACTTGGGGGGGCATTTTATGTGGCCTTGGAGTTGATCCTTGGAGGTGTAGATCTGAATCTGTGGCGTTGGGGAGGAGGAGAGTGTTGCTGGAGGAGGATGTGCCAACCAAGGCATGGAAGTAGCAAAACATGGTTCCTCGCTGGGGGTGCGCTCCACGCTGCTTCTGCTCCCTCTGCACTCCAGATGCACTTCTGGGCCACAGGAGAGGGAGTGAGGAGCTGAGGCACTTGCCTGGGTGCGCCTGACCCCAGCATTGCATTGGGTCCGCCGAGCACCCCCAGGAGGAAGCCCTGAGCACTGTGGGTTAGAGCCCCTCCCCGCAAATCATACGCAGGTGCACTGATGCACTGATGCCTTCACTCACATTCCGGTTTGGGGTTGAGGACTCCAGGTATTGATCCTTTGGCGCAGACTTTAAGAGGACGAAATGTTGCCCAGTGGGGTCTCCCACACTCCTCTGGCCATAGTGTGCCTTGAGCGTAGCCTCACTCTGTTCCCCAGGCAGGGTCTGACCCCCTTCAGACCCCATTTTTCCCAGGTGCCTGGACAAAAAGCCCTTTCCTGGATCCAGGAGTGTGACTGAAGTGGCAGAGCCCAGGCCTGGCAGCACATGGCTGGGCCCCGAGGTGGCCCAGCCCTTGGTGTCTTCCTCCTCCACCCACCGCAGTTTCTGTTTGAAGGCCTGTTCCCCCTCCAGGGGGACGTCAGCTCTCAAGTGTTTTAACTTCAGGCCTCAGGGGATCCGGTTTCCCTCCCTCTCAGCTCTCGAAGAATGAGACATCATTTGGGGTCTTCCTTTGGGTCTCTCTGTCTCTCTCTGTCTGTCTGTCTGTCTCTCTCTCTCTCTCTCTCTCTCTGTCTCTGTCTCTGTCTCTCCACTCAGCGGCCACTTGGCCTGTTGCCAGGATGGCGAGAAGCCCAGCTTCTCTCCTCGGGCGGGTGGGCTTTCTCACCATGGGCCCGCGATCTTTTGCAGGGCGCGTGCCGACCAGCGGATCACCGAGTCCCGCCAGGTCGTGGAGCTGGCAGTGAAGGAGCACAAGGCTGAGATTCTCGCTCTGCAGCAGGCACTCAAGGAACAGAAGCTGAAAGCCGAGAGCCTCTCTGACAAGGTCAGCCGCAGACCCCGAGAACTCTCGGCGGCCTGTGCCACTGGGGGCCGCCCTGGTCAGTCGCGGCTGGGTGGGTGCTAAGGACAGGATTCCGTAGGAGGCCCCTGTCACGCTCATTCTCTGGGGCTTTGGGCCTGGTTTTTGGGGGGCGCCTTGGGGAGAGAGTCAGGCAGCCCTGTGCGGGCTCGGTGGCCAGCCTCGTCCAGACCCGCCGTCCTGGGCTCTGTGTTTGCTCTGGGAACAGCGAGGCACCCCGCCCCCATCTCAAAGAGTCTGTCCAATGGCCTGCTGAGAAGAGTGAGCAAAGGCGTTCCTGCATTCAAGCCAAAGTGACAATCAGGAGAATCTCGTGTGTCCACAGAACCCTACCCATGCATACTCTTAAACACACAAAAATCAAGCTGCGATCTGAATGGTATACTGGCATTTTGAAATTTGCATGACAGCCACTTTCACAGTGATTTGAGTAACTCTTGGGGGTCACTTGTGTAATATGTAGAAGCCATGGAGAAGTGAAGGAGACGGTGACTGGTGGTCTGTCCCCACTGCTCACGGGTGGGCCTGTGCTGCTGGTCCTTCTCAGTGTGGTTTTGTTGATATGTGCCCGCATGTGCCCACATGGGCACCCCCACACACACATATTTATAAACCTCAGTTCTTACTATATAAACAGCTTTAAATCTTTTTTTAAAATCTCACATAACGATAGGCTTTTCCAGAGTTATTGAATAATTTTTGAACACGTAGACTTGAACCTTCAATTGCATGGAGCAACTTATTTTAATCATTCCACCTGTGTGGGAGATTTGAACTGCTTCCAATACTTTGTCATTATAAAGAACACTGTGGTAAATATAAATCTTTATGGACAGCCACAATTTTTTTTTTGCCAGAATTTCATAGAAATAAAATTATTTGGCTGGTGCATGTTTCCAGTTCTTGATACAGACTCACATTCCCCCACCCCAACCATGAAGGAAGTAAGTAAACATATTATTCAGGGATGGATGAACCCTTTAGTATTTAAGTTGCTATTTTTTTTTCCTGCTTGACTATCAACAGCTTGACTATTCTACAGCAAAGCCCTATCCCTAGATACCAGACATTCTGATACCAACATTTCTTGATGATGCATAAGGCAGGATAAATCTCTTTTCTCTCTATTGCTTATCAAATCACGGTCTGACAATACAATCAATATTCATATACACATCTAGTTAAGGACCAGTCGTTCCTCTTGGGATTTGAGCTGACGAACAAGAACCCCTCTCAGGGCTGGAGTGATAGTACAGCGGGGAGGGCATTTGCCTTGCATGCAGCCAACCCGGGTTCGATCCCCAGCATCCCATATGGTCTCCCGAGCACTGCCAGGAATAATTCCTGAGTGCAGAGCCAGGAGTAGCCCCTGAGCATTGCTGGGTATGACCCAAAAAAGAAATAAAGGAAGAAAGGGAGAAAAAGAACCACTCTCTACACACCAGTCCCCTCACAGACTACAGTGCAGGTAGTTAGTCTTCTGCAAATGATTCCCCGATTAAATTCCACCAAAACATATCAAATAAAAAATGTCTTGAGTAGTCTGCCTCCAGCCCCATAGATGGCCTGTCCCTCGACATGCTGCCCATCCTCCTAGAGGTAAAACTTGCTAACTTTAACCCAAACTTCTGTGGCACACTTTAGAGAAAGAAAACCAGAGGCAGTCAGCATGCCCCATCTGGATGTGTGAGGCTTGTGGATGTTTAAAAGTGTGGTTTGCCCCTAACATTCCTCTCACTGAGGAATCTTAAGAGTGTTGTGGTGCATTTTTCCAAACTGTCCAGCTCAATGACCTGGAGAAGAAACATGCCATGCTCGAGATGAACGCCCGGAGTTTGCAGCAGAAACTGGAGACAGAACGCGAGCTCAAACAGAGACTGCTGGAGGAGGTGAGGGGGCATGCCAGGGCCGACATCCCCGTGGAGGGCCGGATGCAGAACTTCATTCTTTTCAGGCGGTTCCATCCAGATGTGAAGTTCAGATTTAGAATTTGGGACTCTTGAGGACAAGGAAAGGGGAGTGAGGGCCACTTAGCTCTTGAAAGCTCTTCGCATGTTGGAAGAACGTGCCACAAAAGTCAGGAATCCCCTTGTTCTCTGCCTGCCCACACGTCTGCGGAGAACACGGAGAGCGTGTTCCAAATGGAAGTTCATTTAATACAGACAGGCAAAGGAATATTGATTTAAATCGCGTTTCAGAGTTGATGTCCAAAGCATCTTCTGTTTTTAGCTGGTATAGCATCCATGCAAATTAGCTTCAAGCACAGAGCAGGACTTGATCAGATTATGCCGGGTACCCAAATTTCATGACCGCTTCTGAATGGGCTGTTGATTCAATTAAAAATGTATTATGCCATTCTTTCGTAACCTGAAATGAAAAGCTCAGATTGACCTCCTCACCCAGCCCTGGTGTCACTTCTTGTACCTTTGAAGAGAATTCTGCAAATTGCTATTTAAATTGACGCAGACTTCCCACTTCCAATCAAGGCCCTTTATGTGGAATCCCTAATGATCTGCTTTGTTCACTTGGCTTGAGAGACAAGGGCAAACATGCTGTTTATTTAACGAGAAGTCGGACTCCGAAAGGGTGTTCTTGTTCACCCATAGCGAGTTCAACATTTCTGGTAGCCGGGTTCCCTGTTCTGCTCAATGGAGGTGTTTTTTGCTTTTCCCGAGACCTTTAGCTCCCCAGGGTCCCTGTTGATGGAAATAAGATTGCTATGCTATTAAGCTGGAAAAGCATGGTAAAATTCAGCAGGCAAGTATGAAATGCTTTATGGAATCGCCCGAATCGCCCTTTTGAAAACACGGGTGGCAGTCTGGGAGAGCTTGGCGGATGGAGGTGGCACAGCAGTATGAGTGCTTGCAGTGCTTAAAAATGGGTACTGGAGGAAATTCCATGTTATGTCTATTTAACCAACAATAGCAAAACAGTCCCCCCTCCCCCGAGTGGAATTACAGGGGTGAGAAGTTAGTTCACCCAAGGCGGCACTGTGAATTTTATGATAGAAATTAGAAAATGCAGCTGGTGGGGAAACAGAGGATCGCGGCCTTTCCTGGGCGATGAATAGGCGATGTTCCCATTTTCAGTGCAAGGTGGAAACAGAAGGAACAAAAATAATCAAGATCTCGCCCGTCCTGTTTTCCTTCAGGAATGGGGGTGGGCCCTGCCGGCTCCTTGCTTGGTCCAAGGCTGCAGGGTGAGTCGGTGGCAGGCCGGCTCCTGACTCCATCCCCGTCCCCGTGCTCACTGCTGAGCCACACTGGGTTGGGCCCTCAGACTTCTGGCTGAGGCGGGGTTGGAGGCAGTTGCCGCTGACAACTGAGACCAGTCCAGAGCAGGGGTGGGCTTGGCTGCCCCGCGTGGCGAGGACTCTGGATCGTGGAGGGGTGCCATTAGCCAGGAAGGGACCGGCCGCACCGTGGTCTCTTCACTCCAGAGACTTGAACGCAGGGTGGGGACAAGTCTTAGAGTGGAATAGTTACTGTATTTATTTGAGTCTTCTAGTCCAAATTCCCGACTCTGTTCCCTTTGTCCCTGCTCCCCGAAGATTGAACTTTCTCTTTCTCTTTCTCTTTCTCTTTCTCTTTCTCTTTCTTTCTCTTTCTCTTTCTCTTTCTCTCTCTTGGGCCCCACGTGTTTTGGCCCCTGGCACTTTACAGCTCCTGCCCGGCCATTGACGTGCTGACCATAGAAGAGGAGGCCATCTGTAGGTCCTGGTTCTGCTGTCCAAGCTAGAGAATCCTTTCCCCACCTTCCTCGTGGTCAGGGCCTCCCCAGCCACCTTTCTGCAGCATGGATTCTTCAAAAGTCCTCTGTTTATTTTCACTAAAAGCCTGTCACTTCCCCCCGTTGGCTTTAAAAAAAAAAATTCAAAATGGGAGGTAGCCTGCTATTTTAAGCCAAACTAGGAGATAGATATTGATTGATAATTAGATGACTGTGCTACTGAACGAGATAACATTTAGTTAGCATGGATGATGTGCCTGGTGCCTTTGCGTGCACAGATTTTACTGTCTCCTTGGAAGCTGGCTGGTTATCTCGGCTGTTACTCCCACCCAGCTCTGCTTCTCTGGCCTGGACAGAGCGTCTCAGAACTCTCCAGAGTTGGGTTCGTGGGCGAGTAAACTGGAGCGATAGTACAGCGGGGAGGGCATTTACCTTGCATGTGGCTGACCCGGGTTCAATCCCCGGCATCCCATAGGGTCCCCCAAGCACTGGCAGGAGTAATTCCTGAGTGCAGTCAGGAGGAACCCCTGAGCATCGCCAGGTGTGACCCAAAAGGCAAACAAACAAACAAACAAAAAACAGGGATGGGTTCGCCCTTCCTGGTGAGTGTATTTTTCCAAAGGGAATTTCCTAGGTGTCCCTGCAGCCTGACAGCGCTGGGCTCTGGGCTCGTCGACCTCTGGACCCTGCAGCTCTCCTCGTCCTTCCCGAGTCAGAGGACTCTCTGTTCGTGCCCGCTGACCTGTTCGCCAGCCCTGTCCTTCCCAACTCCTCTGCCTGGGTGTGATCCACGCCACTAGCCCCGAGCCACCCCAGGCCTCCTGCCAGCCCTCCTCGTGCTGGGGGCAGGGGGACCCCAGGCACCTGGCTAATGCCTTTCTTCTGTCTCCACTCACCCAGCAGTCGTCTCCATTGGCTTCCCTCTGGGAAGCCGGGAAGCAGTTCTCAAAAGCACTTCGCTGAGCACAAATGTCACTCTTGTCCTTTATTCGAGTAAATGGGCTGTCTGTTTCTTGGAAAGCTAATGGACAGTTGATGTGTTTATTCCCAGAACAGTATTTTTGGCCTGGAAGTCACCCCCAGATTCTTGTCCCCAGGACTTGCTTGCTGCCTAGTAATTAGTATTGTCCTAAAATAGTGGGAAGGAACTAGAGTGGGTAATTTGCCGAAGAAATCCCTCCTGCCACAGGGACAGGAAGCACCTCGCAAGCGCGATCTGGGCCGTTTCCTTCCTTTCTCCTTGGCATAGGAGGTGGCGTGGATTCAGAAACTCCAGGTGGGCACATGGACCAGGTGGCAGTCTGGTAGTTGATTTGGCTTATTGATCTGTTGGGGCACCCAGGCATGGCTTGGGGGCCTCTGCGCCCCTCCTGGTGATTCCCAGGCCGCGGACTGGCGGTTGCAGACGTGGGCCCAAGGTCATGGCGCCCACTCAGGCCCAACAGTGGGAGGGATCACTCGGGCCACCCCTGCAGTGCTCTGGGCCCCCCATCTGCTCTTGGTGGTGCTGGGGACTGAGCGTGGGCTTGCACATGCCCCGCCCCCTGTCCTGTGTCTCCTGTCTCACCTGGAGCAGAGAGCAGCTGGGAAAGCAAAGGAACTGCAGCACGGGGTGGGGGAGGAGAGAAGGCCCAGGGAGAGAGCCCCCTGACCTCTTAGACGCTCGCTGCGGCCGGCACTGCGTCACCCCCAGGGCTGCAGGGGAAGCAGACCCAGGCTCCTGGTGAAAATCAGGATTGTCCCTTAGGGTTCCACAGCCGAGCTGTGCTTCCTCCCAGCAGGGGAAGGGCAGGAGAGGTGCCTGGAGGGAAGGCCCGGCCCAGCCCAGCCGAGGGAGGCCAGGCTGGCAGCGAGGGGTTTGGCGTGAAGCCTGGCGTGAGGCTTGGCACGCGCGGAGCCAGGCGGCAGCTCACAGAGCCTGTTGGCCGGCCACAGGGGCCAGTGAGCCCGCAGCGCTGCATCGGGAGCGCCGCACTGCCTGCCTCCTGGCGTCAGGACCAGTTTAGACAAGAGGCCATCCGCCCGTGTCTGGGCAGCCTGCCCTGGTTTCTGGCTGGCTCCCCACAGCACCAGGCTCTCTGCAGCACCCGGAGCGGGTCTCTCTCCCCCGACTTCCCCCGCACAGAAACCGGAGCTCTTCCCTTCCCTGCCCACACAGAAAGGGCATCTCTGCCCGGGCTCTCTGGGCGTACGTGTGGGACCCTCGCCCCGACGAGTGCCCCCCTCACTGGAGGCACCACGCCTCACTCCCAAGGGATTCCTCCTGACAGCCAGCGAGGCCTTCAAATCAAATACCTACAGGTCAGGACACATGGGTAGTGGCTTATGGCAGCAAGTCACATCGCCTTCAGCCCGACTCAGACGGCTGGTCCGCTGAAGTTCCAGAATGTCCTTCATCGCAAGTCCGACTGTAGGTGGCAGTGGGCATCCTGTGGTGGGCTGACCAGCAGAGAATCTTTTTTTTTTTTTTTCAGTTTTTCTTTCTTTGAGTCACACCCGGCAATGCACAGGGGTTCCTCCTGGCTCTGCACTCAGGAATTACTCCTGGCAGTGCTCGGGGGACCATATGGGATGCTGGTGATCGAACCCGGGTCAGCCACGTGCAAGGCAAACACCCTACCCACTGTGCTCCAGCCCAACCAGCAGAGAATTTCTTGCCACTTTTTTTTTTTCTTAAATTTCTTGTCTGACCCAAACCCAGTAGTACTCAGGGGGCCATTCAGTGCCTCCGATGGAGCCCTGGCCTCCCCCACCACCTCCTGTGTGCGTGCACATGCGCGCGCGCACACACACACACACACACACACACACACACACACGGCTTGTTTTCCAGCCCTTTGACCTGTCTCTGCTTCCCCACTGCCGATTCTCCTTAATTCTGCGCATCCCGTTCAGGATTAGAAGGCAGTCAGTCATTTGGGGACGAGATGATTCCAAAAACCAGACTTCTTTTGCCATCCTTGTTTTTTTTTTTTTAGAAAAAGGTTTTACTAGACAACCAGTTTATTATAAAAATATATATCTCAAGAGAATCCAGATGGAAGGGATGCATAAGGCAATATATGGAGGAAATCCCCCTTTCCCTCCCCAAAATCATATTTTCAAATTGTCTCAAGTTCACAAAGTATATCTTCCTAGCCCAAATATGCTGAGAATTCAGTAGATTCATTCCATGACACTGAGTTTTAGGGGGGGAGGGGTCTTTTCTTTCTTTTCTTTCTGTTTTTCTCTTTTCCTTTTGCCGTCCATGACAATGGTCTGGTACTGGGCCTGGTGGGGAGACCATGCTGTCCAGGGTGCAGTTTCTGAGTCTCCCCTGGCCTCTGTCCCTCAGCAAGCCAAATTACAGCAGCAGATGGACCTACAGAAGAACCACATTTTCCGCCTGACGCAAGGGCTGCAGGAAGCTCTAGATCGGGCCGATCTCCTGAAGACCGAGAGGAGCGACCTGGAGTATCAGCTTGAAAATATTCAGGTGAGAACCCACCAAGGACATCAAAACTGCCCACAGAGTCAGGGCGCAATGGGAGGACTTGGAGCCGCCGGATGGAAGGGGATCTGTGTGCTGCGTATTTTCTCTCACATTTTATTGTGAACATCGTCGGGTATTCAGAAAAGTTGCAGAGTTTCTCAAATGCGCCTCCCCTGGAGTCTTTCGCTCGTTGTTCGCTGTTTTTGCTTCTTCCTCTTTCTGTCCCTGCACCAGTCCATTTGGAGGGAGGGGTGTGTGGCATGATCAGGACTGAGTAAATAAATATTGACCAGTGTGGTTGGTATTGAAATTTTGCGTTTGTTTGTTTGGTTGGTTGGTTTGGGGCAGTACCTGGCAGTGCTCAGGGGTTCCTCCTGGTTCTGCACTCAGGAATTACTCTTGGTGGTGCTCAGGGGACCATCCGGAATGTCAGGGTCAAACCCAGATTGGCCACATGCAAGTAATGCATCCTGCCTGCCGTGCTATCACTCCGGCCCCAGTATTAAAATTTTTTCTAGGTCCTGATGCGGCTTCTCATTTACTTCAAGTCTCAGCTTTTCTTTTTAAAAATTTACATTTATTATTATTTTTGTGTTTAATTTTTTTTAAATGGAGACACCCTGGTTTGCAATAGTGCCCGTGTTCATGTCTCAGGAATGAAATGTTGTTTTGCCAACCCACACACAGTTCCTCTTCTTTAGAAGCCTAAGGTTATTTCTGTTCTCCCGAATTTTAGGTTCTCTACTCTCACGAAAAGGTGAAAATGGAAGGCACCATTTCCCAACAAACCAAACTCATCGATTTCTTGCAAGCCAAAATGGACCAACCTGCCAAAAAGAAAAAGGTGAGCCCGAGTGTGTGAAAAGCGGGGTAGGGCGGCTGCGATGCGGATGGTCCAAGGGCCCGGGGAGAGGCCTTTCCTCTTCCTCGGGGTTGAAAAGCAGGTCTTGAGATGGTCAGAATGTCCCTAGCGAGGCCACCGTGAGCGAGCGGTCCCCACGAGCTCACGGCCCGTCTCTGGCAAGAGGGAAATTCCCAATTGCTCTCTCCTAAGCTGCTCTGACCCAGGAGTCTGCAGCGAGGACAGGGTCAGCCCTGGGCGCAGACGGGCCTCGGAGAGAGTGCAGGTCCCCAGGGTGGGCCTCTTGCTGAGGCCGCGAGGTTCTTAGGCCTCAGGCCCTAGAGTTAAGCCACGTCTCGGAAGCGCCTGGCTCGCCAAGGGCTCAGGCTGCTGCACGGGGAAGTGGCCGGCCGAGCGCCTCCTGAATGCCCTCCCTGCCCGGTCCACCCAATCCCATCAGGGCTGCAGTCAGGGAAAGACGACAAACACCCACACTAAAGCAACAGGAGGCAAACGGACGGAAGCAAACAGAACTGCGGCTAGAGAGAGCAAGCGCGAACAAGCGGGGGAGAGACGTGGGGGGACACACCAGGAGGGCTTTTAATAAGCCTCTGACACCTCCTGCTGGGTTTGAGTTTCGGCAGGGCCTGAGGGCCCCGGGGACCTCTGGTGCCTTCTGGGCCCCACCGGCCGTGGCCACGGGTTACTGAAGTGGCCTCGGGTGACCGGGAGGACTGAGGGGGAAGTGGGACACCAAGGCTAGCCGCAGGGAAGGACTTTCCGTGCACTGCGGGGGACTGTATGGGCTTGTTAAATTCATGATATTTAATCTTTTTTATTTTAGCAGCCGACTGTTATCTGGTTGTGTTATTATGTAGTTAGGGTGTTTCCACGTATTCTGTTGTTGTTGACTTCCTTTTAAGTTGCCTTCTTCTGTGTTTTTCTTCTTTCCTCATGTACTTCCCCACCCCCCATTTGTACATTTTTTTTGCGTCTGCCCTCGTTTGGACATCACTTTCCGTATTTTTTTTAAATCACTCATCTCTGTGTCTTGTAACTAAAGCATCATGAGACCAATTCAAGGCAAGAGTGATTTCTGAACCATCTCCTCCTGACTCCATCCTCCACTTGCGTTTTTTGAGGGTAAAGACCCAGGGAGTGGCTCTCCTTCTTGGGAATGCTAGAGGAAGCGGTGGTGGCCGTTCACGCAGCTTGTAACCCTCTCGGCGAAACCCTCCGCGCGCCCCCACGCCCCCCCTTTTTTTCCAGCCAGCTGGAATGAGCTCAGCCCCCCCTTGCCATTTTTACTAAGCCCGCTTCCAGTGAGTATGCGCCTGGCTTCCACGGTTTGCTCCTCCCCTGTCAGCGTGCCTCTAGCTAGTCCCGAGTGCCAGTTTCCAGGAGTTAGGAGATATCTCTGTTTCCATTGCTAGGGTTTATTTAGTCGACGGAAAGAGGACCCTGCTTTGCCCACACAGGTTCCTCTGCAGTACCATGAGCTGAAGGCGGCGCTGGAGAAGGAGAAAGCTCGCTGCGCCGAGCTGGAGGAAGCCCTCCAGAAGACCCGCATCGAGCTGCGCTCCGCGCGGGAGGAAGGTAGGCCCGCGGGCCCCGCACCCACCACGCCCGCGGCCGGAGCCTCGTGGCCCAGGCCGTGCCTGGCGGGCAGAGGGGCTGTCCGTGGGCAGGGCGCGCACCCTGCGGGAGCCCCCACCCACCCCAAGGCGCCACCTGCCCTCTCCCCGCAGCTGCCCACCGGAAAGCCGTGGACCACCCGCACCCGTCGACGCCGGCCACCGCCAGGCAGCAGATCGCCATGTCCGCTATCGTGCGGTCCCCCGAGCACCAGCCCAGTGCCATGAGCCTGCTGGCCCCGCCCTCCAGCCGCAGGAAGGAGTCCTCCACCCCAGAGGGTATGTGCTCCCTCCTTGCGCTTTTTTTTTTAAACCCGCAAGCAGTGCAGGCAGATGGTACACAGGACAGGTGACACTTCCCCTTCCTGGGGCTAGAAGGAGGAAGTAAGTCTCTCCCTCCCCACCCCTCATTTGCTGTCTTCTTCTTCCCGCTGTACTTCAAGGAATGACTGGCTCCGTGCTTCGTGTGTGTCTTCTGTGTGCAGCAAGCATGAGAAACGGGCCAGTGGGCCGAGCACACACTTTGCTTCGCAGGGAGCCTGGGCTCACTTCCTGTTACTGCACGAGTGACCCCCGAGCACTGAGCTGGGATAGTCCCCAAATCCACACAGCCAGATGTGGACCATCCCCACCCACCCTGTCCCCCCGCTCCTCCCAACCCCCTGCAAATAAAAGTAAAACAAGAGAGTATGAGAAAATATGCATATTTTTCTCTCCTCTCTCTGTTCGTTTCTAAGTCATACAGGGCTCCCGTGGCGCTCCACAAAGGTTTTTCTTCTTGCGGGTTATGTGGTCTCTTGGCGTGGCCTGGACCATGGCTTGGGTGATGTGTGGGGCGCATGTGTGAGCCGGCACTGCATGGGTCGAAGCGGCTGGGGATCGGCCTTCTTCTTTTTTAAAAGACTGTGTGAGGCAGTTATTGGAGGCTTAAAAGTCAGGTTGGGGGGCTGGGGAGATAGCACAGCGGGTAGGGCGTTTGCCTTGCATGGGGCTGACCCGGGTTCGATTCCAGCATCCCATAGGGTCCCCTGAGCACCGCCAGGAGTAACTCCTGAGTGCAGAGCCAGGAGTTACCCCTGTGCATCGCCAGGTGTGACCCCAAAAGCAAATTAAAAAAAAGGCAGGTTGGTTTTGTTTGAACAAAACACAGTAAGAGTTGAGGCTGTTAGTGAAAGCCTTGGACATGGAAGGAGAATTCTCCATTCTCTTTATATATTCAGGAATTAGAAATTATATGACTCACAAGAGTATTTTTTAAGTTGGACTTTGCAGAAGAACTCTAGGCAAATGATTTATCAAAAAAAAAAAAAAGATAAAGCATTCTTAAAACATTAACAGACATTTGAGTCCAGCTGGAGAAATACAGAGGTAAGCGGCTTGCCTTGCTTAATTCCCACCCTGGTTTGTTTGATTCTGGCACCCAAGCACACCCAGGGGTCTCTCCTGAACACCACAGGGTCTGACCACATCCACCCCCACCCCAGCTCCCTGAAAAAAGGGAGAAAAAAGATATTTGATTCGAAAACAAAGAGCCGGATGAAACAGCTCAGTGGTAGAGCGCTAGGCTCCCGCGTGTGAGGAGCTGGGTTTGAGCCCCAGCAGGACCAAACAAGAAGCTAAAATCCAACAAGTGTCAAGCCTATAAGCTCGTGTACCACCGTTTATCATGTCGCCTAGAGGTTCCCAGACTTCCTTTGTCTGCCACCCCCTTTTCAGAAGTAAAGCCACTCAGCTCCCCCTTGGAAGCCCCCCATGGCTCCAGTGCCCCCACGGGGATGGTGTCACCCACTTTAGGGCACTCTGGAACCCTCCTCCGCCAGGTGCATGTTCTTAAATGAAACCCCGGGGGCTGGAACCACAGTACAGCAGGGAGGGCACTTGCCTGCATGCGCCTGACCCGAGTTTGCTCCGCAGCACCCCGTATGGTCCCTGAACCTGCAGGAGTGATCCCTGGATGCAGAGCCAGGAGTAAGCCCTGAACACCGCTGGGTGTAACCCAGAGGGGGAAAAATCTAATTGAATCATAAGGGGGCTGGAGACATGGCACAGTGGGTATCGTGCTTGCCTTGCACTCATCTGACCCGGGTTCAATCCCTGATACCACATATGGTCCCTGGCTCCCTGCCAGGAGTGATCCCTGAGTGCAGGACCTAGTGTCAGCCCTGAGCACCACCAGGCATACCCCCTCCCACCCTCAACCCCCCAAGATAAAACAAAACATAATAAAAACAATTGCAAACATGATTCCTAGCAAGTAGATAATGGCGATTAAATGTCACTTCATGTATCTGTTAGTGTTAAAAACGGTTTCACAATCTGAAACTGCCTTGTTCTTTAAGCTTTACTGAGATAGAGGGCCGGAGAGATAGCACAGCAGGTAGGGCACTTGCACATGGCCAACCCATGTTCGATCCCCGACATCCCATATGGTCCCCTGAACCTGCCAGGCGTGATCTCTGAGTGCAGAGCCAGGAACCCCGAATACCGCCGGGGTGGTCCCCAAACAAACAAACAAGCAAACAAGAAGAATCCACCTGCCCCAAAATTTCTTCATAGAAGCATCTGATTCAGCGTCTTCTAGTAAGTCCCCAAGGCCGTGCAACTGTCCTGATTTAGTTTTTCTGTATTTCTGACCCTGCCGGTCTCTGCCCTCCGACCTCATGCCTTCCAGTCATCCCTTCCCGTTTCTCCCTCCTCACCTCAGGCACTGCTAGTCTCTTTCCTCCTCTGAACTTGTCCTGAGCATTTCGCGGAAATAGGGTCGTCCTCTACCTGGCCTTCGTGCTGGGCTGCTCACTCAAGATAGCATCTTGAGACTTCTCTCATGTATCATTATTTCATGTTACTGGGGGTTTGGGGGCTTGTTTTGGGGCCACACCCAGTGATGCTCAGGGGTTCCTCCTGACTCTGCACTCAGGCATCACTCCTGGTGGGGCTCAGGGGACCCTATGGGAAGCCAGGGATGGAACCCGGGTTGGCCGCGTGCAAGGCCAGCGCCCTCCCCGCTGGACTACCTCTCCAGCCCCAGGGTTTTGTTTTTGATTTTTTAAAAGTGAAATAATATCCCCCTTGTCTTGTTTATTGATCCATTGAGGGCATGCGGCTCTCATTCCCACTGGAGGCCACCAGAAGTAGCTCTGCAGTGGGGACCGGGGAGGGGGGGGGCAGATTTTCTGTGGCCACACATATCCTCACTTCCCTGGGTCCCTGCCGGGGAGGGGGGGGTGTCCCGGGTCGGAGGACCTGCCGGACTGGTTTCCAGGGTAACAGCGGAGCCTGTTTCCTCTCCTCGGTATGGGTGAGAATTCCAGTTTCCTGGTCCCCCCCAGTGCCCAGCGTTTCCCTCCCATAGATTTTTTTGACCCTCCCCATGCTAGTGAGCTGGGCTGGTACTGCAGTGTGCCTCTGACTTGGGTCTGATTTGCTGACGCTACTGAGGGGCCTCTTTGCAAGGCTGATAGGCCATTTCTTTTTTTTTTTAATTTTAGTTTTTGCTTTTTGAGTCACACCTAGCAGTGCTCAGAGGTTCCTCCTGGCTCTGCACTCAGGAATTACTCCTGGCGGTGCTCAGGAGACCCTATGGGGTGCCAGGGATCCAACCTGGATCGGCTGCATGCAAGGCAGATGCCCTCCCTGCTGTGCTGTTGCTCCAGCCCCAGTGGGCCATTCCTTAATCTCTGGGGAGATGCCAGTCGTGTGCCCATTTTTACCTGGGTTCCTTGTCTTTCAGTCCTTGTATCTGTCCCCGCTGTAAGTCCCTGTCTGACCCCTGAGAGGTCCATGCAGTGCTTTGGGCCACCCTGTGGGTTGTCTTCTCAGCCCAGCCGTGTCAGTCGCAGCCTCTGACTTGTGGCGACTTTCCCTCCAGAGTTCAGCCGGCGCCTGAAAGAGCGCATGCACCACAATATCCCGCATCGGTTCAACGTGGGACTGAACATGCGCGCCACCAAGTGCGCCGTGTGCCTGGATACGGTGCACTTCGGACGTCAGGCCTCCAAATGCCTCGGTGAGAGAGCGCAGGGCGTGGCGGCTCCCCCACGGGGCACGTGTCCTCTGTCTCGATCCCGCGCCTGAGTCACGTTCCGGCTCCAGCTGCTGGTGTCCGTGGGAGGGCTCTGCCTCTCCCCTGCCGGAAGAGCACGTTTCTGTGTGTCTCCCGCTGCCTCTGGGCTTTGCTCATCTCCAGCCACTGGCGGTCAGGCTGGTGCCTCCCAACTGCACCCTCGCAGATGGTCCCCTCCACCCCCGCTGGTGGCGGCCGGGGAGGAGGTGGGAAGCGTAAAAATGGGGGTTGGGGGGCTGGAGCGATAGCACAGCGGGGAGGGCGTTTGCCTTGCAATTGGCCGACCTGGGTTCGATTCCCAGCATCCCATGTGGTCCCCTGAGCACCGCCAGGAGTAATTCCTGAGTGCAGAGCCAGGAGGAACCCCTGTGCATTGCCGGGTATGACCCCAAAAAAAAGAAAGAAAAATGGGGGTTGAGCAGATTTGGCTTTTCTGTGGAGCTCTTCCTCCTGCTGTAGGGACCTGCCCCAGGCGTGGGCGACACCGGGCGACAGCTCTGGGGTTCCCTGGCAGCTGGGGCCGGGCCGGGCGTGGGTGCTGGGGCAGGGAAGGTTTGGGTGTGGGCTGCTCATGGACTCAGGGCGCTCTCTGCCTCTCCCCAGAGTGCCAGGTGATGTGCCACCCCAAGTGCTCCACGTGCTTGCCGGCCACCTGTGGGCTGCCTGCCGAGTACGCCACGCACTTCACCGAGGCCTTCTGCCGCGACAAGATGAACTCCCCGGGCCTCCAGAGCAAGGAGCCCGGCAGCAGCTTGCACCTGGAAGGGTGGATGAAGGTGCCCAGGTACCCTTGCAGGCGGGCCGGGGCCGGGGCGGCAGAATCCGCCAGCACCAAGACCATCCAGGGTGGCAGAAAGATTCTTTGGCGCCCAGAGGTGCTGATAGACTACAGTCTATCAGGTTCCGGCAGGACCCCTCTTTCCCGTCTCTGCCTGAGAGCAGGAGACAGCGCCACGGGGCCCGAGAGCTAGCATAGTGGGGACAGGAGGCGGCCCTGCTTCCGCGCCTGGTCTCCTAAGCCCCACCAGGGGTGACCCTGAGCACAGAGCATCGCCAGGTGTGGCCCGAGCCCCCCTCTGACGAGTAAAATGTCCTGGTTAGTCCTGGAGGAAAGGGACACAGTCACCACTAGGGGCCTGGACCCACAGCTGGAGGCCTGTGCAGGCAGCCCTCGGGGGAGAGCCGGGCCCCTCACACAGACACGGTCACATGAGTGAGCCCCTTGCCTGCCGGACAGGCCTGGAACCTGTCGCGTTGGGCCAGAGGGGGGTGGGGAGTCTGCCGCTTCAGGTGGTCTATCTGCTTCCCCGCCGCACCCCTCACCCCTGTCTGGATCGGCCGGGTTCCTCGTTTCCTCTGGGGGCATTTGGCCTTTCCTCAGCCACCCTCCAACCTGGTCCTCTAACCTCAGTCTCTCTCTCTCTCCCTCCTCTCCCTCCCCCCACCTCCATACACCCTAACCTCCCCCCACCCCACCCCTCCCAGGAATAACAAACGAGGGCAGCAAGGCTGGGACCGGAAGTACATCGTTCTGGAGGGATCGAAAGTCCTCATCTATGACAATGAGGCCAGAGAAGGTACCTTGGCAGTTGAGGGGCCGGCGCTGCATGGGGTCGGTCCAGGCCCCTGAGTGTGGGCACGGTGCAGGCTTTGTGGTTTGGGTTTTGGTTTTTCTTTTGGACTGCGTTGCCGGCCTTCTGCGGTTTTCCACTTTTGGAACCCGGGCACCACATGACTGCGCTAAAGGTTCTTGGTCCGATACTCACGTCTATAGGTCTCCCCTCTGAGGACCCCGAAGACACCTGCTAATACACCTCCCGGGACCTTCCGCCTCAGTCAGCTAACCCATAAATCCGCACCGCCCGCCCGCCCGCAGACATTTGACTGTGCTACTCATCTGACACACTTTATTTTTTTTTATCTTCCCTCTCCTCCTTCTCTGGACACCTCCTCTCCCTTCTCGTTCTCGTGCGCCTCTCTCTCCACACACACCCCGTCTCTCCCTCTGTCTCTTTCTCTCTCTCCCTCTCTCCCCCTCTCGCTCTCCCTCTCTGTGTCTCTCTCTCCCTCTCTCTCTCCCTCTCCCTCGCTCTGTCTCTCTCCCACTCTTTCCCTCTCTCTCCCTTTCATCTCTCTGTCTCTGTCTCTCTCTGTCTCTTTCACATTCTCTCTCTCACTCTCGCTCTCTTTTTCTCCTCTCTGCTCCCTTTGTTCTCGTTCCTGTTCTTTGGTTTTTCTTTCTGCCCTTCCTCTTTGCACCAAGCTGGACAGAGGCCGGTGGAGGAATTTGAGCTGTGCCTTCCCGACGGGGATGTCTCCATCCATGGCGCCGTCGGTGCTTCTGAGCTCGCAAACACAGCCAAAGCAGGTGAGGGGGCAGCCAGACCCGGGCCTGCCCCACGCTGCGCCTCCATTGTCAGCTGGGCTCGGGGCCTCTCGCTGGGCCTCCCGCCACCCCCGACCCAACATCCCCTGTCGCCTCTCCTAGATGTCCCCTACATTCTGAAGATGGAGTCGCACCCGCACACCACCTGCTGGCCCGGGAGGTCCCTCTACCTGCTGGCACCCAGCTTCCCCGACAAGCAGCGCTGGGTCACCGCCTTAGAGTCCGTGGTCGCAGGTGGGAGAGTGTCCAGGGAAAAGGCAGAAGCCGACGCTGTGAGTATGAGCAGGCAGGGCTGGAGCCCATCTCTGCTGAGGGCAGGGGGGACCGTCTCAAACCCTGGGCAGAGCCACGGGCCGTGGGTTCCCTTGCTCCCCGGCGCGCCCCTGGAGGGACAGCAGTTTGAGACGACATCGCCCCCGCCACGCCCCAGGCTGGGCACTGGGATCTAGCCGGCCGGTGTGGCCGTCTCGCAGCTTTTGGGGACTTAGGGAGGGGGACTCAGTGCTTCGGGCACCCCTAGAGCTGGCTGGGCGCCTTGGCTGCCTCTAATGGACAGGGCAGGGTCTGGGGGGGGGCGGGGGGGAGGGCTGCTCAAACTGCCTTGGCATCAGCCAGGCTTTTCAGAACCTCCCTGGCATTGCCACACGACTCACTCCGTGGGCAGGTCTGAGCCACCCCCCCCATCCCGAAGACGTTGGAGGCGTAGGTGTGCCGTGATTGGCACCACTCCCACTAGGATGTTCTTGGATACACGCCGTGCTTGGCGCTCATTGGCGGCTTCTCCGCCCAAGACCAGACAGCGCCCCTCGCGCCACTCAGCTCCCAGCAAACTTGGGAGCTTCCCTGAGAGGGAGCCCCGCTGCCAGGGGCCCAGCTGCCCCAGGGCGCCTCCCACTGAAACCCACGTTCCTGTGTCACGATAGGGCCGGGGCTGCATCTCCGCCGAGCTGCCTGCGTGGGTCCAGGTAAAGGGCCTCGGCCGTGCTGGGTCACTGCAGCCGGAGGGGACGGCGGGGACGGCGGGGGGTGCTTATTAACCTCCGCCCCCTGTCCCCGGACTCTGTAGCTTCAGCTCACCCGGTTTGAAGTGACCAACTCACTCGCCCGCTCTCCAAGAGCCGCGTGCTCCCAGGTCTGGCGCGCATGGCCTCTGCGCCCTGTTAGCAGCTGTAGCCCCCCACACACCAGCACCCACCGCAGCCTCTTCCCCCACCCGACTTTGAGCTTGCTCGGGTCCCGGGGGTGGGGGCGCCACCGCGCTGTCGCCGGCTATGTGCCTCTCCCCGAGTGCTGACGGCCTCTCCATTCTTGCTCCCGTCCCTCTGCCTAGTTGGGCCACCATCCACGCCGACTCACCGCGCCCTCTTTTCCCTTTTCTCCTTTTCTTTCACACACGAAAAGAAACTTCTTGGAAACTCTCTGCTAAAACTGGAAGGCGACGACCGCCTGGACATGAACTGCACGCTGCCCTTCAGTGACCAGGTGGGGGCGGCCCGCCCGGGGGCCGTGGGTGGGCGGTGTGGGCGGGGGCCTTGGCAGCCCCGCGGCCCTGCTGACGCCCTGCGCCCTGGCCGCCCGCCCCATTGCAGGTGGTGCTGGTGGGCACCGAGGAAGGGCTGTATGCACTGAACGTCTTGAAAAACGCCCTCACCCACGTCCCCGGCATCGGAGCCGTCTTCCAGATCTACATCATCAAGGACCTGGAGAAGCTGCTCATGATAGCAGGTGGCCCGGCTGCGCTTTCCCATGGCGCGTAGGAAACGGTGTGGAAGGCAGATGCCGGGGGAAGATGAGTGAGCCCGGGGCCGAGCAGGGGCCCGGCCCTCGGTCCTCACTGCACCCCCGGCCCCCACCGGCCCCGAGCGTGGCCCTATGTCGGGTGCAGAGAAGAGCGTGTTGCAGTTGCCCCAGGCAAAAGATTTTATTTTGGGGGTTGGAGGGGGAGGCCAGAGGTCAGACCCAGAGACTCACACAGCATGTGCTCGACCATATCTCTTTGTCTGTGGCCCCGGAAAACCAGCTTTCTTTTTTGGATGGTACTGTTTATTTTTTTGCCTCAGGCTGGGGCACGACCCATTACTTACTGCCTCTGTTTTGAAGCTGGAACAAGACCAACTTCACAGTCTTGTTTCAGGCTGGACAGATCAGGGGCTGGGCTAAAGTCGAGAAACCGGCTTTTCTTTTTCTGTCGGATCTTTCCTTCTGCTTGCTTGGGTTTTTTTTGGGGGGGGGGGATGTAAAAAACCCCCTGGCATTGCACGGGGGTTACTCCTGGCTCATGCACTCAGGAATTACTCCTGACGGTGCTCTGGACCACATGGGATGCTGGGAATCGAACCTGGGTCGGCTGCGTGCAAGGCAAATGCCCTACGCACTGTGCTGTCGCTCCAGCCTGCTTACCTGGTTTTTATCTGGCTTTATATTTCTACTTTTCTTCCCTTCTATCTTGAGTTTATTCTTTTTGGCAAGAGCTGTTTCGGGGCCACACTCAGCAGTGCTCAGGGGCTGGTCCCGGTGGGGAGCGTGTGCGGTGCTGAGATCACACCATGCCGAGAAACCCCTGAAGCTCTGTGCTGTCTCTCCAGCTCTGTTGACTTTATTCGTTCATGTAGAGTGATTTTTCTCCACAGCAGAATTGCGCAAAAGGGATAGGGGTTCCCCTCCTCCCCCTTCCCGCGGCAGCCCCACCCCATGCTGGGGAAGTTTCCAAGCCGTCAGTGGCGGGCTGTGATCCTTGGGGGGGGGGGGGGGGGAGCTGCTTAAGTTTCTTTTCACTCGAAGCCCTTTTTCACCCATGGATATGAGCTAGGCATGCATGAAACACTGATGATAAATCATAGATTTGTTTTGAAACATTTTTTTTGTGGCCCCGCGCCCCACGTCGTCACCCACTGTCCCAGCAGTGCGTCCTGGGAGAGCCCTTCGATGGGTGCGGCTGTTCTCGAGCCCAGGGGATTTCACCCTTGTATTACCCATCCTTCCCTTCCACCTGGGCTGGAGCGATGGCACAGCATAGGGCATTTGCCTTGCACGTGACCAGCCCAGCTGAGCCAGGTTCGATTCCTCTGCCCCTCTTGGAGAGCCCGGAAAGCTACTGAGAGTATCTCGCCTGCACGGCAAAGCCTGGCAAGCTCCCCGTGACGTATTCGATGTGCCAAACACGGTACCAACGAGTCTCACAATGGAGACGTTACTGGGCCCGCTCCAGCAAATCGATGAACGGCGGGAGGACAGTGCTGCCGTGCTACCTTCCACCTGGGGCTCCAGTAACCCCCGAGCGTGTCCCCTGATGCATGATCAGCCTCAGAACATGTGTTTTGTTTAGTCGCTGCTTTACTTTCCATCTGGAACAGATCCTCAACCTGTTTTATTTTATTTATTTCGAGATCCTGAAAGATTGGGCTAGTCCGGGCCTCCTTTTGTTTGTTTGGGGCGGGGGGAATAGATGGTGTTGAGGGCTGTGCCTTGCTCAGGGTCACCCCTTGTGGTGCTCAGGGGACTGACCATCTGGTGCATGGGTCAGGCCGGGGCCTCCTGAATGCAGAGGGTCGCCCAGCCCCTGGGGCATCTCCCAGGCCCGTGCCTATCATTTCCTAGAACATCTCCTTGGCTTTGGTGGACAGGTGGCACCCCTGAGTTTCTGCCTGCAGAGCGGTTCTGTCCCTGGATCTTGGCCTAGAGGCCAGACTTTCCCCCGAGAGCCAGTCCCTGGATTATCTGTGCCTTCAGGGATTGGGGGCCGAGGCAGGGGGCGGGGGTGGGCGGAAACGCACCTCAGGGCCGTTGTTTCACTGGAGTCTGTCTGGGCACGGTGAGCTCCCGCTGACCGTGGCCCGTCCCATCCCCTCAGGAGAAGAGCGGGCCCTGTGCCTCGTGGATGTGAAGAAGGTGAAGCAGTCCCTGGCGCAGTCGCACCTGCCCGCCCAACCCGACGTCTCGCCCAACGTCTTCGAGGCTGTCAAGGGTTGCCACCTGTTTGGCGCCGGCAAGGTGAGCACCTCCTAGGGCAGCGGCTGCTGGAATGTTCTGGAAACAGGCACTGCCCTGCTGCCCCTCCGTCCACAAACTCAGTGTCCCGTCCAGGGAAACAGAGCATGACAACGTCCGCGTTCCCGTTTCCACCCGCCCCCAGTGTCGGGGCTGGTTGGGTGAAACCACGGAGATCCGGCTTAGGGGGAAATCTGGCCGTTCTCGGCCAGGGGGATGTAGGTTTCTACAGACACGCAGACGGTATCTGAGAACCTTGCTCGTCGGGTCAGGTGGTCCCTGAATCCGTAGGGCAGCTCTGCTTCTCTCCTCCCGGCCAGAGGTATCGGCCCCCTGCAAACAGAGGGTCCCAGGACACCTCCGAGGCCTCCTCTGGGCTCTGTGCAAGTGGCGGTTCTCTCCCCAGCCAGGGCCGTTTCTGCCCCGCGGCTCATTCAGTGGGCAAAGGCCGAGAGACGCTTTGGGTGGTCTCGGGGGGCCGCTGGCATCTGATGGTAAAGCTCAGGGGTGCTGAGCAGCCCGCCAGCCGGGAGGCCCTGGATGGTGTCCAGAGCAGAGCGCCATTGTCCCAAGGAGGGTGAGGGCTGGGGCTGGGTCCGTTTGCCGCCTCCTTTCACGGCACAGCTGTAAGCACGCTGGTGACGTGTTCTCTCCCGGTGCCTCTCTTGCCTCAGATTGAGAATGGGCTCTGCATCTGCGCTGCCATGCCCAGCAAAGTCGTCATTCTCCGCTACAATGAAAACCTCAGCAAGTACTGCATTCGGAAAGTGAGTCCTGGGCCTGCTTTTGGGGCGGAGGGGGAGAGAGGGCGAGGGAGAGAATGAATCTCTTCTTCCTGGAGGAAGCCCCAGAGCCATGGGGCTGTGGTCTCTGTTCTCCTTTGTTTCCTTCCGGTTCAGCCATTGGTCAAGGGAGGAAGGAATCTGGCTGGTGGAGGGGACACCTACGTGGCCCTTAGACGGCAGGAGGGCCGGGCTCCCAGGGACGCCCACAGGCCCTGGCCGCACGCGCCCGGCTCACCTCCCAGGAGCGTCTCCTGCGGAGCTCACTGGGTTTCGCTGTGTGGATCGAAAGCCAGAGCGAGTGGGACACGGGGAGCAGGTCGACCCGAGCACATCACGGCCGTCTGCCTCGCGTCGGCTTCAGCCGAGGTTGTCTGTTGCCCCAGGAGAGAGCGGCAGAGAGAGCGCGAGACTTCGCCAGCCTGATGCAGTTCGTGTGCTTTCAGGCTGGCTCGGCAGTGAGTCGAGGGGTGGACGAGTGGGTGGACAAGCATGGTCTAACCATGACCAGTCAGAGACTTTTTCGTCTGGTTCGTTTCATCTGAGCTTTTTCCAGCCACCTGCTGGCACCCAAGGCACAAGCTGGCTGGCGCGACAGACGCTTCTCACACGGTCCTGAGGAGCTGGGGTGGCAGCGCCCCCACTTGGAAACAGAACTTTTGACAGTCTCATTGAAGGCCACCTTTGGGTGGAAGCAAGGTCTCCCTTAGCGTGGGGTTGCAGGAAAGGCAGGGGACCCGCTGTCACCCGCATCGGGGACAGGCGGCAGACGGGGGCGGCTCACGCCCCCCTCCCGCCCCGACCTGCCTTCGCAGGAGATTGAGACCTCGGAGCCCTGCAGCTGCATCCACTTCACCAACTACAGCATCCTCATCGGGACCAACAAGTTCTATGAGATCGACATGAAGCAGTACACGCTGGAAGGTAGGCCCGCCCCGCCCCGCCCCGCCCTGCCCTGCCCTGCCCCCGCCCCCGCTCCCACCCCGGCTCCTCGCGCAAGACCGCTGCTCGCTCGCCCTCGCAGAATTCCTGGACAAGAATGACCACTCCTTGGCAGCCGCTGTGTTCGCCTCGTCTTCCAACAGCTTCCCAGTCTCTATCGTGCAGGTGAACAGCACAGGGCAGCGGGAAGAGTACCTGCTCTGCTTCCATGGTGAGTGGGGCCCCCCGCCCCGGCCCCCAGCCCGGTCCTCTCTCTAACAGCAGCAGCTCCTTCCCCTCGCCCCCGTTCTGCTCTCTCCCTTTGGCTTCTCTCCTGTCCGTCTTTTTTTCTTTAGTGTAGGAGTGTTGCTATTTATTCAGCCATTGGTTAGGCTGATTGAACTGGGCATTGGCTTACTTTTTTTCCCCCCTTTTTATAAATGTATTTATTGAGTCACCGTGAGAGCAGTTACAAAGCTTTCGGGTTTAAGTCTAGGTCATAGAATGATGAAACACCCGTCCCTTCACCAGTCCCCATTCTCCACCCCCAACAACCCCAGCATGCCCCCATCCCACACCCTCCCCCTACCTGTGGGGCAGATGATTTCCACACTACTCTCTCTCTACTTTGATCACATTCAATATTTCGACACCAGACCCACCATTATTATTTGAGATTTTACCCCAACACTCAGATCTGCTGAAAAGGCAAACGTAGACAATTTGTTTTCTATTGACTGGTTATGAATAACATACAATGTTGCACGGCCACAATAGTGGCTGCACGATTTTGGAATTTTGAAATTTTAACAATTAAATCTGGAGGGATTTCATGCCTTGGCCTGTTCCCCTGGCGACTCAGTGGCCACCATCCTCCAGAGGCCACTGGACAGTCAGGTTTGAGTCCGCAGTGACGAGACATGCGGGGCCTCACGGGATGGGGGTCCCCAACGAGACTCCAGGTCGCCGCCCACAAACGGCCTCTCTGGCTCCTGATCAAGCTCCTTAACAACCATGATCCCAGAGACTCAGGAACAAATCTCGGAACCCGTCTTTTCTCGATGCACATTTCTCGCCTTCTGGTTTTTCCTCCCCTGAGTGTCTGGTATTTCTGTCTCTTTGCCCCGGTCTCTGCCTCTCTGCTTCTCCCCCTTCATTCCCTGCTCCTGGCCCCTATCTCTTCCTCCTCCTTCTTCCCTCCCCTCTTTCCTTTATTTTTGTTTTGGGGCTACATGTGGTGATGTTTGGGGGCTCCTCCTGAGTAGGCACTCAGGAATCACTCCCTGCTGTGCCATCTCTCCAATCCCTCCAACCCCCCTCCCCTCCCTTCAAATCACAGATGTTGTTATTGGACCTGAGCAATAGCACAGCGGGGAGGGCGTTTGCCTTGTACGCGGTCGACCCGGGTTTGATCCCCAGCATCCCATATGGTCCCCCGAGCACCACCAGGGGTAGTTCCTGAGTGCATTGCCAGGTGGGACCCAAAAAGCAAAAAAGAGAGAGAGAGAGAAAAAAGTGTTTACTGAGATAGCCGAGGCTTCGGTGTTGTCATGCATTCCCAGTGCCTCCCTGACCCTCCCCTGCCAGGGCCAGGCCTGGCTCCCCACCCCATCAGCGCAAAGTATCAGCGCTCACGTCTTCTTACACCCGCCCCACCCCGCTTCACTTGGAGTCCCTTTCTTTCCTTGCCTTGTGTTTTGGTTTCGAGCCCTAGGTGGCTCTGCTCCAGGCTCGCTCCCGCCCCTGGGCATGGAGCCTGAGGGTGCAGCCAGCCCCTCTCCCCCTTTCCTCTCAAGGAACCGGAGGGCCTTAGGCTTGAATGGCCCGGTTTTCTGCACACCCCCACCCCTGCCAGGTCCCCTGGTGGGATTCCCCATACAACTGCCAAAATGTGTCACTTTGAACCCCAAGATGGCCCTGGGTTAAAACTCTTGCCTTGGGGCTGGAGCAATAATAGCACAGCGGGTAGGGCATTTACCTTGCACGTGGCCAACCCAGGTTCGATTCCCAGCATTCCATATGGTCCCCTGAGCACCGCCAGGGTTGATTCCTGAGTGCAGAGCCAGAAGTAAACCCTGTGCATCACCAGGTGTGACCCAAAAAGCAAAAAAAAAACAACAACAAAACTCTTGCCTTGCACCTGGCTCCCTTCATGGCACCACAAAGACACCCCCCCCCCCCAGCCCCCAGCCCCGCCAGAGTGATCCCTGGCCAAGTACTGTGGTGCTCATGGTACCTCCTGGCTGCTCCTCCGTCCCCTGGAAGTGCATCATTGGTGCCCGCCTCTGGCTCCGCTCAGACCCGTGTCTTGGCTCCCCGCAGAATTTGGGGTATTTGTGGATTCTTACGGAAGACGCAGCCGCACCGATGACCTCAAGTGGAGCCGCTTACCTTTGGCCTTTGGTGAGTGACGCAAGCGGCTGGGCTGGGCCCGGGGTCGTTTCTACTCTTGGCCAGCTGCTGGCAAAGTCCTGCGCCAGAGTTGCAGGTAGAAGGCTTTGTGGCCCAAGCACCATGCCTTGGGTGCCAGCAGGGTCCAGGCCTCACATGTCACTGTGCCCCGAGTGCATGTCCACTCACGGCCGAGCCTCGGAGTCCGAGCCACCAGCCACAGCTCAGCCCGGGACACTGTGAGGCCTCCTGGGGTCGGCAGGAGACGGCCACCATGTGTTTACTTGCCTCCTCGCATGGCTGGGGTTGGAGCTCTTCCCCTTAGTGTGGCCCGTTCTCCCTGGCATGGCGAAGGAACAGTGCCGTGGTGAGCAGCTGGTGCGGGTCTTGCACACTTGCTTATAAATCCCTAGAAGTGGACTGCACAGTCAGAGGGGAGGGGCGTGTGTGTGTGTGTGTGTGTGTGTGTGTGTGTGTGCGCAGACACCTGCAGGGTGCGTGTGCAAAAAACACCTGCAGTGTGTGTGTGTGTGCAAACACCTGTGGTGTGTGTGTGTGTGTGAACACCTGCACAGGGTGTGTGTGTGTGTGTGTGTGTGTGTGCGTGCGTGCGCGCGCACATGTGCACACATGCATGTCTTCCTTCACACATGAAGCTTTACAGCTGTACCCCCGTGTCATCTTGAAGAGCCTCTTTGTGCATCTTTGCAGAAGGGAAGGGCCCTGTGGAGGGGGCGTCATCCCTCCCTCCCTCCCTCCCTCCCTCCCTCCCCTGCCAAAGAGAGTTGTTGGGGGGGCCTGTCTTCTCCAGCCGCAGCATGGCAGTGAGTGAGCGGAACCAGCTGGCAGGGCGGGCGTGGATCCCCTCAGAGGCACGGCTGGTGCCAGAGTGGCCCAGCGGCCTGGGGTTCACTTGCTCCCTCTGCCCCCTTGCTCCCCTCACAGCCTACCGAGAACCCTATCTGTTTGTGACCCACTTCAACTCCCTGGAAGTCATTGAGATCCAGGCCCGCTCCTCTCTGGGGTAAGCGCCACCGCGCAGACTCGGGGCCCCTGCCCGGCAGCGGAGGTCACCTGCAGGATAAACGCCTCTTCTGCCACCCACAGGACCCCCGCCCGAGCGTATCTGGAAATCCCCAACCCACGCTACCTGGGCCCCGCGATTTCCTCGGGCGCGATTTACCTGGCGTCCTCGTACCAGGACAAACTGAGAATCATTTGCTGCAAAGGCAACCTCGTGAAGGAGTCGGGCACTGACCACCACCGGGGCCCCTCCACCTCCCGCAGGTACGGCTCCTCCCCAGGGCGGGAGGGCTGAGGCCTTCTCTGCAGTGGGAAGGACTGCTTGCTGGAGCTGGCTGAGGCGTGCCCAGTCTTCCAGACCAAGCCACTCACTTCTCTGAGATCGACAGTGAGGACATGGCCTGGTCCTTTATTTATGTCACGGGCATGTGAAAACGCCTCCTGGTAGAAAGGTAAGGCAGCAGGCCTGGTCCTCCCCGGGCGGGCCGGCGGGCGTTCGCAGAGGCCCTTGGGCTTGGTGCATCTCTCCTGTGTTCGGACACTGGCAGAGATCCTGTCGCGGGAGTGGGTTTTGCTCTGGGGGACTGCACGGAGGAAGGCACCGAGCCCCAGCGTGGGAAGCAGAGCGTGGGGTCGGGCAGGTAACCAGCCTCTGTGTGGAGACAGAGATGAGAAGCCGGACGCTGCCCTTGGGGGAAGTGGAGTGCCAGAGGCTCCAGACAGTTTGGGCAGCCCCCTCGAGGGCAGGAAGGTCTCGCAATTCAAAGGCTCGCAGGGACCCGCAGGGCCGCTCGGCAGTTGGCCTGGGGGCCTTGTTGATCCCAGGGTGTTCCCCTCCCTGGGCCTGGGCGCCCTTCCCCCAGCTTGTTGGTGCTGCTGGACTGTCCTGGTCTGATTCTGCCGGAAGCTCCCACCGAGGCAGAGCTTCCCCAGGTCTAGGGCCAGGTCAGTCTCTGCAGCGTCCCGGGCCACCCTGAGTTGGCTCCTTGGCCTGGTCTCGGCTCGCCTTGGAGTCGTGGCTGAGGCTGAGTGGGGAGGGCCTCTCCTTTTCGGAACAGGCTCTATTTCTTCTCGGGACTCCCGGCAAGGGCCTCCCGTCCTGCTCCCGGACTGCTAACTTGGGGGCCACTCCCAGCGGCGCTCAGGTGCGGTTTCTGGCGTGGTGGTGCCAGGGCCCACTCCTGACAGAGCTTGGGCCAGGGCGTCATACCTGCAAATAATGATCCTGATCAAAGTTTCTGAGTCGTCCTCCCACAAGGCCATGCGGGCCTGGGACCGGCCATCCTGGGCCGGGGGCTGGTCTGGGGCCATGAAGGCCGCATGAGACTATTTTCACCTGGGGGCGGGGGTGGGGGGAGTGGGCTAGATAAATGAGCAAGGGTTTACGTTTCCTGCACGACTTGACCGCCCCTGCCAGGTGCTGGGGAAATGGCCAGCGGGAGGCGCCCAGCAGAGAGGGCGCGTTGTATTAGAATCTGGTGGAGGAACGTAACCCACACAATGCTCAGATCTCGGGAAAGAGCTGGGCAGGGACTGTGGTCTCAGGATGTGGCCTGCAGCTGAAGCAGAGGGCGAGTCAGAAATGTCTCACCAGTGGTTGCAGTGATAGCACAGTGGGGAGGGTGTTTGCCTTGCATGTGGCCAACCCAGGTTCGATTCCCAGCATCCCGTAGGGTCCCCCGAGCACCGCCAGGAGTGATTCCTGCGTGGAGAGCCAGGAGTCACCCCCGTGCATCGCCGGGTGTGACCCAAAAAGCAAGTCTCACCAGGGTAGTTTCAATCCCAGGAATGTTCTAGAACACCAGGAGAGCCACATGACCCTCTGCTCTTCCCGCTTACTCAGAGACACAGCTGAGTCCCGTCCCTCCCAACCCAAAGCACCTGCTCCTTGTCTTAATTTGTGGGGATGGGGAGGTGGTGGGCCATACCTGGCTGTGCTCAGGGCTGAGTGCTGACTCTGCCGTTTGTTAAAGAATTTCCAGGGGGCACTGGATGGATGGATGTTTTGGGGTGGGGGGAGGTGTTGTGCTTTTTTTTAAGGGAGCTGATAGGCCTGATATAGACCCCCGATGTACAAGGTGTCATACAGCATGCTGAGGAAATTAGAGGAGAGTAAATCAGTAATTTACACAGTTCAATTTTAGAATCAGCCAGTAAGTACAACTACAGTTAAGGTTTTAAACATATTTTTGGATAAAATTAATTTTCCTGAATTCTACTTTAATTTCCAACAGTAAGCCCCAGTCGTTGAAAAATACGCTTCAAGTCGTAATTCACAGTAGCTGGTTTTTGGTGTGTGTTTTATTTATTGATTTATTTTGGGCCCCATTTTTGAATCGCCTGCCTTTTCGCAGCACCAGTCGTGCTCAGATAATGAGGCGGAGGCACTTGCCTCTGCTCTGGGGCAGGCGGGATGAAGGTCTTCTGCCTGTGTCTGCAGATCTTCACTTGGGATGACCCAGGCCAGGGCTGGGGATTCGGGCGAGTGGCTCAGAGCGAGCCTGTCCTTCTAGCTGTTCGTCTCCCGGGGGTGGACAGGGACACCTCAGAGCCAGCCAGGTGCTTCTGCCTGCCCTGTTGTCCCCGGCGTGTGTCCCTCTCCCAGTAGCTTCAGTGTCCACTGGCCGCAGGGCCAGAGCTGGGCAGGCCCGGGCAACTGAGGGGATGTGAGCGTGGGCACGGGGGGCCTGCTAGACGCCAAAGACGAGACCCGCTCCCCAGCCTCTCCCGGCCCTCGGGGGCTCCTCCTTCCCCTGCCACTCAGCGGCAGCCGGAGACCAGGCGCACCGAGGCCCAAGGAGCCGTCCCCCGGCTGGGGGCAGGGTCCCTTCTTCAGAGCCAGGGGACCTGGGGAGGAAGTTAAAGGCCCAGCTGGGGGCCCCCCACTCAACGCAGCCTCCCCTTCTCTGGTTTGGTTTTGGGGTCGCTCCTGGCAGTGCCACGGGCAGAAGCCGGGCCTCCCGCACGCAGAGCCCCTGCTCTGCCCGCTGAGCGCCCTCCCCCTCCTGTCTGCCAGCAGCCCCAACAAGCGAGGCCCGCCCACCTACAATGAGCACATCACCAAGCGAGTGGCCTCCAGCCCAGCGCCCCCCGAAGGCCCCGGCCACCCGCGAGAGCCAAGCACACCCCACCGCTACCGTGAGGGGCGAACAGAGCTGCGCAGGGACAAGTCCCCCGGCCGGCCTCTGGAGCGCGAGAAGTCCCCAGGCCGGGTGCTGAGCACGCGGAGGGAGCGCTCCCCCGGGAGGCTCTTCGAGGACAGCAGCAGGGGCCGGCTGCCCGTGGGGGCCGTGAGGACCCCACTGTCCCAGGTCAACAAGGTGAGGTGCAGCTCTGGGGGGGGGGGGCGAGGGGGGGCTTCCGAGTCAGAGGAATGACGCATGTGCACGCCCGGAAACATCTTGTTCCCGCTATGGGCCTCCTGGTGGCGACATCCCTAGCCCACAGTCTTCAATCTTTTTCTTTTTGGGGGGTGGGGGGGCATTCCCGGTGGTGCTTATCCTTATGGGACGCCAGGGCTCGAACCCGGGCCGGCCATGTGCAGGAGTGCCCTTCCCACGTCCTGCCACCGACCCCTCCAATCTTTTTCTTTCTTTCCCTCTTTCTTAGGGGGCGGGGGTGGGGTGATTCTTCCCAGTCTGCTCGGGGCCTGAGCGTCACCAATGCTCCTGTGTGTTCTGCACTTTTTTCTGATTGAGCCCTGGGGCCACGCCTGGCTTGGTGCTCAGAGGTGCTTGGGTTACTGTGTGGTGCCGGGGAATGCACCCCAGGGTCCCAGGTGGCGAGCCTGTGCTGCGCCATCTCCCAGGGCCCTCTCTTCTCCTTCTGGTTTCGACCCCGCTGTGCTGAGGCTCAAAGGCTAACACACTGTGCAAGGCGTTCTGTGCCTTACACTTCCCACCAGACTTCCACGTGCAGATCCGTTTAGGGCGTTTCTGCAAGGCTGCACAGGGGCTGCCTTCCAGAACATTGAACCTTTGGCAACTGGGTGTTCACGTGCGTGCGTTGCATCTGTGAAGTCTGGGTGAGGGGCCACAAAGGTGGAGGGGAGTGTGGAAGACAGGGCCCCCATGCATGGGGGGTGGGGGTCTTGTACGCTTGGGCGTGTCCTGTCCGTTGGAGGCACCCTCGGGATAACAGAGCCACTTTTCTGCCTCCGGGGCTGAGGCTGTGGCTGCAGTTGGAACCCCCAGCAGGAAAGAGAGGAGAGGCTGTCTGAGTCCTTTCTCCTAGCCTCTCCGGTTTGCTGCTGGAACGGGATGCAGTCTCCCCTCAGGAGCCTGTGTGCGCCAGAGTGTGGGGGACGGGGTAGGGGATGCAGTTTCTTCTCTGTGGCCACGGGCTTCCTGCAGCTGCCTGTGCCGGCCGCCGGGGGCTGAAACCCGCCTCCTTGCTTTGCTCCTAGGTCTGGGACCAGTCTTCTGTCTAACCCTTAGCCAGAAACCAACTCCTCATCTCCGTCTGCAGGAAAACACTGAACCCACTCTGGAACTCAGCTGAAGGGGAGCCCAGCGCCCGCCTGCTCAGCTGCCCCAGGGCATGGCTGGACCCAGAGCCAGCTCGGCCGGGCACCCCAGCGTCCCGAGGGGCAGGGGCGGGGGGCTGAGTCCAAGGAGCCTCCCTGCAGCTCCCCTTTGCACTCCGGTCCTCTTTCGAAGCGTTCACGGACTTTGTCCCTCGCTCCAGCGCCCCTGCCCCCACGCCCGTTCGTGGGGGAGGAGGGGAGCCAGCCGGCACCCCTGACCACAGGGCCAGACTCCCAGGCGTCGTCGCGACTCCGGCCCTGTGTCCGGCCGCTGCTGCTTTCAGCGCGGGTTTTCTCCTTTCTCCCCTTTTCTTTTTTAAAAGACCACAGACTTCTTACTTGACGTGACTCGCACCCAGCTTGCTGTGGTGGTCATTCTCCGCACGCTCACGTCAGGTCTCTCTGCCACCGGAACGTTCTGTAGAAGAGCCCCGCCAGCCGGCTTAGCGTCCTCCCCCCGCGCGCTCACACAGCCTCATTCCTGTCCCCCAGCCTCCGCCCGGGTGGCCTCGTTCACCGGAGGGGGCATCCTCGCCAAATGTTTACCGTTCTCATTGCCTTTTAGGGCCCTGACAACCCCCTTCCCTCCCTGCCCCTGCCCCCAAGAGGAGAAGGTCTGGAGGTCACCGGGCCTCGGCTGGAGGGCAGTGACTTGGGGCCGAGGGACCCCGGGGAGCCCAGCCTCCTCGCGCGCAGCGCCCCCTCCCCGGCCTGCTGCCCCGAACGCATCAGCCCAGCCAGCTTGGGTCGGTCTCTGTGTCGAGGAGGGGACCGGGCCCCCCCTCCTGACCCTGTCGGCAGGTCGCTGCCCACCTCGGGCGGGGAGACCCGCCCGGGAGTTCTGCATGTGCCACCCCGCCCGCGAGGGCCGCTCTGCCGCTGTAGTCGCATCGCCCCTTAGTTCCCACCGCCGACCCACCCGAGACCCCCGACCCTCCCACGCTGCAGTCCGTAGCACTGAACCAACGACAAACCAAACGCTCAAGCCTTACGACCAGAGAAGGATTCCAGCAAGCTCCCACCTCCCCGCCCCCCCCCCGCCCCCCCACCGCTGGACTCCAGCAGCACGCTTCCAGCCCACAAAACTGTGACGTGCCCACAGGGCCTTTCCCTCGGGCTGCCCCATGGCCCTGGAGCTGGCACCTCCGTGGCTCCGCCCGGGCCGGGACGCCCTCCTTAGGTGCAGTGCGGCTCTGCCCCCACCTGACTCTCTCCGCCCTCTTGGCAGAGTCGAGATTCCTGGCAACTGATAAAAGAACCAACCTAGAGGCTTTGCAGTTGGCAAGCTAACTAGCGGCCTTACTTCTGCCTTTAACCTCCCACAAGGCACCTCTTGCTTCAGACTCTCCATGACTCTTAGGCCCACCTCCAACAACAAGGCATGTCCTAGGGAAGCTGGAAGGTGGGGGCCCCCACCGCAGCCCCCCCACCCCCCCGTGCTGCCACCCCGCGCCACAGTTCATCTCTCTCCCCAGACTGCACCTGGCCCCTCCCGGCTCCTTCCTGCTCGTCTCTTAACCTAAGTGCTTTCTTGTCTGAAACTCAGCCCACGAACCACGTTTTGCGCCCGTGGAGTCCACTGCGGGCACCCCCATGTTGCTTGGCGTCTTGAAGTCTCCCCGCATCCCCCCCCCGCCCCCTTCCCCAGGGCAGAACCGACTGAATGTTTGCTGACTCCTTTTTTTTTTCCTTTTCCTTTTGTCTCTTGGTCCACAAGTATTTGGAAAGGTCACTGGAAACTGGTCTTTCAGTCTAGGCATTTCATTTTAGAATCTCCATGAGAAAGGCTCCCGGAGCCCGAGTGTATTGTGCGTCTCACCTGTGAAATGCTTCCTGCTGTAGAACTAGCTCGAAAGACTGTACATATTTACAAGAAACTTTATATTCGTAAAAAAAAAAAAAAGGGAAATTGAATTGGTTTCTACTTTTTTATTGTAAAAGGTGCATTTTTCAACACTTCTTTTTGGTTCCGAGGGTGGCAGCAGCAGAAGGGCCGACCTCACTGGAAGGCGGGTGGGCGCCTTCACGGCCCCCCGGAGCCAGCAGGAAACAAGCTACTCTAAAACTGCAGGCAACAGCTTCTTAGCCTAAAATACAACTCTAGATCTCCAAACGTACAGGCTTTTACTCCATTACCTTTTTTATTCCAAACGAGGGGCAAGAAGATGCGGAACTACCGAGCTCCACCCGAAGAGAACTGAACACTGTCGTTGAACAATAGTGAAATAAAGCAATGATCTCAAACGGTGCTCGCCTGCCCTGGCCTCTTCTTTGCCCCGAGAGGGCAGCCGAGGCCCCGTACCCCGTACCGTGGCCGGGAAGCGTCCTCGCTTTTCCTCTGGGATGGGAGCGCGGTCCTGCACTTGACAGAGCGGACGGCCGGCCAGAAGGTGGGTCCTCAGATCCAGCCGCACTGCAGGGTTGGGAAGCGTCTCGGGTCCCTCTGACGACAGCCCGGTTCTCTGATGCGGCAAACAAGACCCTCACGTCCCTTCCGCCACTGATGCTCTGGCGCTGGGGGGTTCCCCTCGCAGAGACTTTCTCAGAGGGAGATCAGCTCAGAAGCCTACAGCTTCGAGACCAAGAGAAGCTTCCTTAGAGTCTGCGAGGTGCGTTCCCCGCCCCCCCCATGATCATTTAATTGGTTAGTATAAACTTGTGCTCGATCCAGACAAACGTCGGTTTTGGCGAAGGGTGATTTTTGCCCCCTCAGCTTTCCTGTTGCTTTCAGACTTCGATTTCCATCTTCCAGTGACACAGTTTATGACAGAAGCCATATCTGACTTGGGCTTGTGACAGGAACCCTAGCTCCAATTTGAGTCTTTTCTACTTTACTACTGGGGCTAAAAGTCTGCCACATATTGAGTGAAATTAAGCGAGGGAAAAAACCTCACTGGTAAAGGTCCGTTAAATCATCGTTTTAGCAGTTGTGGGGGGGGGGGGGGGGCAGAATGACTGTGCTGTGGGTGTTTGCTTTCCACACAGCCAACCCAGGTTCAGTCCCTGGCATCCCCTGAGCACAACTGAGTCAGGAGGTAGTCCAGCTAGGGTGCCGTCCAGAGGAGGGCACATGACTAGCACACCTGACCAGTTTGACCCTGGCACTACCTGGTACCCCCCAAGCATCACGGGTGCAGGCTTGGAGGCTCCTAGCACTGCTGGGCTCCTTGGCTGATCCCCAGGCCCCGCTGCCTAGGCAGCCGTCACCCTCGGCCCATGAACTGTACAGCTGGGGAGAACTGCTGGTGGGGACCTCTGAAACTGCTCTCCCTTTGGGAGACACCCCCAACCCCACCCAAATGTGCATGCAGCAAGATTCATTCCCATGAAACTACAATCGGAGAACCTGGCTCAACAGATGATTCACTCTAGGGCTTTTATGGAGCCGGATGTGATTTCCTTTCAAACATTCCTGCAGATGAGTGTGCACTAGCACTGAGGTCAGTGATGGGCGCAGGGTTAGCTAAACCCTCAGAGGGACTTGGCCCCCCTCTCCCAGGCCATCAGGCAGATACCTGGCTGTGGGAGGGGAGGGGTGGAGGGAGAGGCAGGGGTGCACAACAGCTGGTGTTAATTATCCCACAGTGCAGGAGACAGCCCTCACCCATCAGGGAGATTTGCCCCACCCACAGGTGGGGAACCCTGAGCTTGCTTTCTTGACAGTTCAGATACTGCGTTTGATGTCCCAAGCCTGAGACTGGCTACAGGCACGCAGTGTTTAGATGAGAAAAGTGTTTTATCACTTGCCTAATCAAATGTTGGAAGCTTGATATTCTCCAAGCAGGGGAGGACAGCGTAGACAGCTTGGATTAATGGTTAATGATTAATGGAACTGCTTGCCCTGTAAGAGCTTTTAGAGGGAAAAAAAACTTGGAAAAATGACTAAAGACACCACTCAGGCTGTCTTTCAGAGAACCACCAAAAGGAATAAATAAAAATCAGGCTGGCGTCAGTACATGAGCTGGGAGCTGCCTCCTGGGTTCTCCAAGGCCACTGGGTTTGCAGGATGCGGTGAAGGATTCACTCGGGCGGAGAGAAAAGGTCAAGGCTCGTCAGCTGCACTAGGAGTCAGAGAGGTGGCTGCTGAGCCAAGGCCGCAGGCACAGCCCAGGGGTTCCGCCCAGGAGAGGGGGTCTGGGCCTGGCCACTCCTTAAAGGCCCTCACCTGGAGTTCACATGCAGCAGCGACCTTCCCGTTACAATTAGCTGGACGACTCGGACTAGACAGAAGGTGCTTGCACTGCTGACAGGCCAACTAAGAGGGGATCCAGATGCTGGATGGTTTTGGGGAGGCCGTGTCAGCAGTGCTTAGGGGTCGCTCCTGGGTAATGCCTGTGGTCAGTGGTGGAATGCGGGTCGCCCACATGCAAAGCCTGCACTCAGCCTGCTTGAACTATCTCTGGCCCTGGATGGAGTTTGAGTGATCTGGAGGGGGGTCTTCGGTTCATCCAGATCATTTTGTCAGCACTGAGGAGGGCCAGGGACTGGGAGAGCAGGTGAAATGAAATAGCACCCAGAGCCCTCTTCAGCCTTTCAATCCGAGATGGCTGGAGGCTGTGGACACTCTCACTGCTCTGAGCCTTCAGCTCTGCCTCAGAGGTTTCCTAATAGAGCAAGCTTTTCCCTCTTGGGGTCCCTTGACTACCCTTTTGTGGTCAAACTCCACTCTTGCTGGCAGGCTTTGTGTGCCCCCAGGTGACAATAGGCCCTCAGGAAGGCCAGATAGTGCAGTTAATTAAGGCCTTGCACCCGAGACCCGTTTGAGTGCCAGGGAGAGATCACTGAAGAAAAAAGGGCCCCTTGGGACCATCTGGCACCACTGTTAAGAACGCCAGAGGCCATGGGATTTGATTCAGTCACAGCTAGTCAGGGCCGTTAACAGTCCAGGCCACACACTGCCAGAGGCCAAGGAGCCTTGAGGTGCTCCTGTGAGGCATGATGGGGAAATGGGGTGAAATGGGGTTCTGTTTCCCTGCAATACCGGTAACTGCTCAGGGATTTACTTTGGTTTAGCGAATTCATTTGTCTATAAACTACTAGAGGGAAGACTGTATCTTCACTCAGACCTGTTTGAGTTCACTTAAACCTGGTACCAGCCCTCACCCCGGTTACAGAGAAAGCACTGCCAGGTCACAGGGCACCTGAGTCCCCTGCATGGCTTGGTCAAAGAGGGGAGTCCTTTTCCAAGTTCGTGACATGAGCTCCATGACCTTTAGCTCTGAGTGCAAAAACCCACTCCCTGGGCTGTGAGCAGCCTTCTGAATCTTAAAGGGCTTTGTTTTTCGGTCTTGCTTTGGGGGCCATACCTGGCGGGTGACACAGGTTGCCTAGAGAGTTCCCTGATCCCCTGTACCCTCTGCTTCTTCCAGGGAGTCGGGGTCACTCCCTCTTAAATGGGCCACAAACCAAATTTCCCTTTTATCCTCAATCTGTGCCAGTGTTTCCTGATGCCAGGGCCTGGAGGTACAGCAGGAAGGTGTTTGCCTTGCGTGTGGTGACCTGGTTTCGGTCCCAAGCCCACAGGATTACGCCCTGGGCACTGCCAAGTGTGGTTCAAAAATCTACCTATGTAACTTCACTATTTCCTCATGCTCAGAGAGAAAAGGCTTAACGGAATACCATAACCTTCCACCTTCCTGTAGAACGGTAGTAAGCGGAGGGACAGGGCTGGCTCTATCCCTTCTGGAGGTTCCCAAGCACTTTCCACTGGTCATTTCCCATGACTCTTCACGAGCTAGTGGGGGGGTCAAACCTCCACCTTGACCTGGGCTGCTGCCAGCACACACCAGGAACCTCTCTGCCGGCCATGGGCGCCCCTAGGCCTCCCCTCATCACCGGGTGAGCCACAGCTTGGCCCTCACTGCTGCCTACCATTGTGTGTGTGTGTGCACGCAGAGGGGCTCCCCAAAGGGCTGAGACGAGGCCTCCGAGGCCTGAGTGAGAGCAAAGCTTCCCTAAGAGTGCGTGCGGCGGGATTCTTTACAAAGCTTTATTGAAAGCCGCACGCCAAGGCGACAGCCAATCCATGTTTCGAAAACAGTAACAAAAAGTGGGTCCCCCGACCCAGATCTACCCGATGCTCTCGGGAAGCTGGGAGGCATGCCTGTCCCGTGTGCGGTCGCCCTGCAGCCAGGCAGGGGGAAGGAGGCGGCCTTGGTCCGGGGGGTCTCCCCGGTGGGGGGTGGGGGGGGCTGCCATCCAGCGCCCCACATCAGAGCAGGCAGCAAGTGCAGGGTCTCTCCGCCAAGGAGGGTGGCAGAAGCCCACTGGGGACAAGGGGGCTCTGCCCAGGTCTGCAAGGGAACTGCCCCCTTATCACGGGGAGAATAAAGGGACGGGAGACCCGGTCTCAGGCTCAGGGCCAGCCAGCTGGACGGTGAGATCTGGCACTGGTTTCAAGGTCTGTTCTAGGAACAGATTATTGCTGAGCGCAGCCGACATGATCTTGAGTCTAGAAGGGGCGATCAAAAGGTCGCGTTAGGTGGCAGCCCACCACCTCTAGTTGTGTTTAAAAAAACAAAACAAAACAAGACACAAAGTACTGAGTGCACCAAAGTGTAAGAAACATCTGTAAAAGTTCACCTGGAAATCGGATCTAATTTCTATAGAAATGGTACTCCCCTGGCGCGGAGAGGGGGCACGATCTATTGCTTTGATTTTAAGAGGCAAGAGCACTGCTCACGGGGCCTCCTGGGCCAGGCCATGGCAGGACAAGCCAGCGGCCTTAGAAAAGCCCATCAGTTAGAAGTTTGGTACAGCCTGCCTGTTTGGCAGAATTTTCACTAGCAGCTCGGCTAGTGTTCCTTTTTGGTTTCAGGAAAAAAAAAAAAAATTCCCACGCGTGCCCCCTTCAAAGGCCGTCTGCGTGGGGTCAGGGCTCCTGCTCCCCCTCCTCCGCCCTGGGCCTTGGGAGCCAGGAGAGGCCCCCGCTGCCTGGGTGCCGAGATCCCCAATGGCCTGAGCTGCGCCAGGAGCTGCCGAGTCTGGAACAAAGCTTCCAGCCGGCCGAGAGCGGATATGAAATGTCTTAGAAAGCGTGAGGGGAGAACCAACAGTTCGCTTCCTCCCGGGGACGCATGCACGCCTCGAGCCGGCTGGCGCAGGGTCCCGGGGCACACGTCCGCTGCCCGCTCATATGGGCTTGTACAACAAGGTGGTGACGTACTTCTTCTTGTACCGGTGGGTGGCACTGAGCACCATCACCCCATCCTAGAGGGAGGCAGACAGATCAGGAGCAGGCATGGCCCCGCAGCACCCTCAGCGGCCCCAAGCCTAGGGGCCCCGCGCCAGGGCGACCAGTGGGCCTCACCTTGATGGACAGTGCATAGAGGTGGTTCAGCATGACGTGATTGGGCTCCGGAAGTAAAGCTGGGTCACACTGAGGGGACAAAAGCGGGCACGGGCACTGAGGCGTGAGCCGCAATGTGCCCCTTTCCCCCAAGTACCTGGCACACAGGATGGGGAAACACCCCCCCCACACACACACACTCCCTTCCCTCCCCAGGAGGCAGTCTCTGGTCAGCCAGGCTCTCTCTCTCATACACACACACACACTCACACCCCTCCCCCCCCCGACTTATCTGTCTCACTCTGCATACATCCCCTCCCCAACACACACACACACACACACACACACACACACACACACACACACACACACACACCCACCACCCCCCTGATCAGTCAGGCTTGAAAATGTGGGAGGGTCGTGGTCGTGTGTCCACTCCCCCGTTTGCCCCACGTGATGCAGAAAGGAGATGCCCGTGGGGCCGACAGAAGGACGACTGTGAGGCAAGGCTGACAAGCAGGGGAATCCGGTGCCCCTCGCGAGGCTAGGCCCTGACAGCCTCGGAAGACACACGCATACACTCGACCATCATGCGTGTGCATCTCCCTGTGGCAGCCTGGACAGAGCTGAAGAGTGGGGACAGGTAGGTGGGACCTGGAAATGCCAGGGGCAGCAGAGTGGGAACGGAGACCCTGGGGAGGGGCAGACGCTCCGCAGGATCTGTGACACCCACCCCGTGGTTTGATGGTGCCAGGAATCGAACCCAGGGCTTCACAGCAAGGCGAGAGTGCTACCACCAAGTCACAGTGCCCACCCCAACCATACTGCTTCTGGCGGCAGGAAGGAGGAACTGAGGCCACCCGTGGGCCTGGACGCGCCACCCTCGCTTAGAGCGCTGAGGCGTTTCTGTAAGCAGCTGCTCGTCCCAGGAGCCCGGGAAGCCCCGCCAGAGGGAGAATGTCTCCGGTGAGGGCAGTTCTGTAGTCCGCGGCGGCGGGATGGGGCCAGGGAGGGCGGCACCACCAGGCAGAGGGGCTCCAGTGCCCACATGGGGGGGGGGGGGGGGGGACACGCGTACTCACAGAGATGCCGGTGTCCTTGTTGAGGATGACCTGGAGCAGGTGCGGGGGGAGGATGGGCGGGGCTTTGAAGCGCTCCTCGGGCTTGGACACGTAGGGCTCCTGATGATAGGGGCCCGGTGGGGAGCTGGACAGCTCTGCTGGGAGAAGGTATGACACTGCCTTGGGGGACTAGAGGAACAGGGGAAACCCCTGCCCTCTGCTGCCCGCTCCCTCCACGCACACCCATACTTTTTTTTTTATTGCTTCTTCGGGGGGGGTCACACCTGGCGATGCACAGGGGTTACTCCTGGCGGTGCTCAGGGGACCCTATGGGATGCTGGGAATTGAACCCGGGTCGGCCGCGTGCAAAGCAAACGCCCTCCCCACTGGGCTATCGCTCCAGTCCCTACACCCACACTCTCCTGAGGCCTGGGAAGAGAAAGGATGGAGAGCAGAGGCCAGGAGAAGACCGTTTTTGGAACTTGGGTGGCAGGTGCAGATGGGGCCGAGATGGAAGCTGTGGTGTCTGGCCCTGCTGTCACCCCCACAGAGAGTCTGACAAGGTGCTAAGGCACTGCGCAAGCTGGACAAGATCCCCGAGGAGTCTGGTTAGCGCCTGTCAGGCTGCAATTATGGGGCACCCAAGTGGACAAGGTTGGCAGGTGCCCCAGGGGCCGGCTCCTCCTGACCAAGAACGACTCTCCAGGGCCTCCAGCGCCGCGCCCAGGACAGGTGGCCGGGCCAGAGACGGGAGATGACCAGCGAGAGGACTGGAGCGTTCCGGGGTTAGACGTCTGCCGGGCCCGACAAGGCTGGGGGCTCCCCGGGAAGCGACGAGCATCCGCTAGGATGGGACAGCCGAGGAACAGCAGTCCCTGCCTAGCCCACCGGGGCCCACGTGGACCAGATCACCAGGGCCGTACCGGACACATCGGAGCACTTCTGGGAATCCACCATTAAGGCATCGAACACTTCAAAGTCCGTTTTCTTCACCTGGATGACGTTGTTAACGGTGCCCAGCTGGCTGGTCACTACAGGCTGGGGCGAGAGGGGCAGGCGCCTCAGCGGACAGAAGCTCTGGCCTCTCCCGAGCTCACTGCCGGCCCCGCTCAGGTGCACGAGGGCACCTCCCCCCAGGGGCCACCGTCCGTGGGGCCAGGCCGGGGAGTACCTCAGAAGGGTCGTGCGTCCACTGACCGTCCACGAAGAACTTGTACTGGTGCTCTCCTTCGGGCAGGTCCAGAATGGCGACAAAGTTGTTGTGGCTGAAGGAAAAGGAAATGCAAGATCTCAGTGGAGCGGCCCCGAGACGCACAGGGGAGCAGCCGTGGAACAAAGCGTCCCAGTGCAGGAGAAACGTTTCCCACCCGACCAGGCAACCCAGCGTTTCCACCCTGACAAGCGCCGGGGAGACGGGCACACACGAGGTTTCCTTGGAAACTCGCTTTGAGGGCTGGAGCTATAATACAACCAGGAGGGCTTTTCCCTTACACATGGCTGACCCGGGTTCCATCCCCGGCATCCCATATGGTCCCCCGAGCACTGCCAGGAGTAATTCCTGAGTGCAGGGCCAGGGGCAACCCCTGAGCATCGCTGGGTGTGACCCAAAAAGAAAAAAGAGAAATAGAAAACTCACTTTGCTCAAGCCCCAGGACCCCCTTCCGACCTGCCAGAGGTTAACCAGGGACACCCGGCACCCGTCCTCCTCAGTGCGTAAGCAGAGCACCCCCTGGCAGCTGGGACGCGACAACCCAAGACAAATACCACACCATGGAGTCTGATCCTGTTGTTCTGTCATGGGCAGGAGAGGGGATCCATTTAAGAGGATGCACAGAAACTTCTTGAAAACAACTTGCACAAGCAGTTGAAAAAAAAAAAAAGACACAACGCCTCAAGGAAAATTTTGCTTCCTCTTTGCTTCTAATTGATGAGTGAGGAGGCCGGAGCAACAGTCCAGAGGGGAGGGCGTTTGCCTTACACATGGCCGATTCACTCCCTGGCATCCCAGTGATCCCCCTAGCACTGCCAGGATCAACTCCACTAATTCCTGAGTGCAGAGCCAGGAATAACCTGGAGTTCTACCAGGTGTGACCCAAAGCCCCCTCGCCCCCCAGAAAAAGAACTGATGAGTTGCTGGGGTCACTCTCAACATACCTGCTGGACAAGCAGCGGGGCCCAACAAGAACCAGGCCTGGCCCTGCACTGCCCCATCTCGCCCTCTCACCCCGAGCCCTCACCAGGGAGGAGCATTTGCTATGACAGCCTGAGACAGCGTGGGCCCTGCCCGTCTCTGCTTCTGCTCATGACGCCTACGTGGCATGTCCCCTTCGAACAAACATTGTCACTGTCCTCCCACTGTTCATCGATTTGCTCGAGCGGGCCCAGTAACGTCTCCATTGGAGACTTTGTTGTTACTGTGTCTGGCATATGGAATATGTCACGGGGAGCTTGCCAGGCTTTGCCATGCGGGCGAGATACTCTTGGTAGCTTGCCGGGCTCTCCGAGAGGGGCGGAGGAATCGAACTCGGGTCGGCCATGTTGGCTGCGTGCAAGGCAAACGCCCTACCCGCTGTGCTATCGCTCCAGCCCTGAACAAACACGATGCACAGAATTCAATGGTGCATCCGGGGCAGGATGTCCTTCCTACGGGGCTGACCGGATAGGTCAGTTCTGCCAGGGTGGACTCATCCCCTCTCTGGAGAGTTCCAGGCCAGAGAGCTCTCCCGGTGTCAGATGCTCTGCAGGGGCAAACAGTCATGGAGCAACCGAGTATCGGAAGCAAACTGAGTGCCAGGGAAGTGGAAGAACACGGGAGAGAGGTTCCTTCTACAGAAAGGACACCCTAGACCTGGGTGTCTCCTGGCTGCAAGGACCCTCCGATGAAACGTAGATGGCAGATCGCATTTCCACTCTGCAGCCAGGCCTTATCGACCTGCTTCCGTCGAGCCCCTGTGATCATTTTCTCCTCGGGGGGATGAGATGGGAGGGTAGAGGTTCGGGCCTGACCCGGTGCTCAGGGATGCTCCCTGGTGGGCTTGGGGGATCAAATCCAAGTCTGCTGTGTGCAAGGCAGGTGCCCTACCTGCTGTCCCAGCGCGCTAGCCCCACCGAGCATTTAAAAGCAAGAGCATCTGCGGGTGAAGACTTCCCAGGCAATTACCTTCTCGTGAGGGGCAGCTTGCTCCAGTTGTTGAAGGATCCAGATAAGTAGACTTCCTTCCCACCTCCCGTCCATCGAAACACGGTGGGCCGGGCCTGGGCAGGCGCCTTGTCGTTCACTTCCAGGTCATGCTGCCAGGCCAGGAATTCCTCCTTCTCCGGGGCCTGAAAGACAGCAGTTCACTCAGGATCAGGAGACAAGAGAGGGCTCCACCAGTGACCCCACCATTAGCAATCGGCACCTGGCACTCAGTTCCTACTGGGCCACACCAACTTCCTCATTCCGCCCATTTCCCCCCCGCCACCCCGCTTGCAGAATGGAGATAAAAACGGTTCTTGAGATTACTGTGAAGTCTGTGGCAAAAGAAGTTCGAAGGCCTCTCAAGGTATTTAATAACTACCTCCAGAAGCAAGCAGAATCATCTCACTGGAAGCAAGAATGGAAAGACCCCAAGAAAAGCTTTGGAAACGTCAATTGTTTCCTGAAATCATTAAGCAAGATCTGAAGCACCTGTGAATTTTTCAGGGCTCATCCTAGATCTGCTGACTGGAAAACTGCAAATCCAGATTCTGAGACTGGGGTGTCGGGCGGGGGGCGAGAAGACCCGTCCAGGCAAGGGAGAGTGTTAGTGAATAAATGGAGTCAACGCAATTTTTAGTCTGCACACTTCTGGGAAACTGAGGAATTACTGAATAAGGGTGAAATAAAGAAAACTACCTCTGGGTGTTTCTAGAGGGTTGTGGATCTTTTATACTGTTCCCAATCAGAAGCCAAAGGCTTCTGTTATTTGGCTTGGGGACCAAAACCCACGGGTGCTCCAGAAGTCTTTCCCGGAGATGCTCAGGGGACCAAGAAGGGCCAGGGATCAAACTGGGGTCCGCCACGTGCAAGGCAAGTGCCTCAACCCCTGTAATAGCCCTCTGGCCTTTAAATAAGGACAAATCTGTCATTCAAACAAAGACAAATCCCATGCCGGAAGAGGCCAATAACAGAGCAGGGCTGGCCTCTATCCTAACCATTCCAAAGTAAAGATGCTCGAGCTTTATAAAGACCGATCAATTAATTAACAGATGGTACTCACTTTCAACGAGAGCTTAATTAACCATAACCCAAATGGCTAAATGATGTAGTTAAAAGAGTCTACGACTATCTTACAATATCTGGGACATTCATCCTTTTTAAGAATTCACAATAGAATTCTTAAAGTAAGAATGGACACTGTTTAAAATCATTCTCCACGGACCAACGGGAGAAAACGGGAGAAAACAATTCTTTAAAGAGTTTTGGAGCAGTGACAAAACAACTATTTCTTCGCAAGAGTACTTGGCTTCTTTCTTATGGGGTCTTACCCAGTCGCTGTCTACAGGCCAAAATAATTCCGGACTGGGGGAAGAGAAGGCAAGTCTTTGGAGGAAAAGGATTCCTTAGTTCGCTCTGCACAGAACTTTTCAGGAACGCAGCAGGCTCAAATCACAGGAGGGAGAGCCAAAGGAAAGCAGGCTCTTCCGTTCAAGGGGGTGGAGCGGGCACTAGTACCCCTTCTGCAGGTCCCAAGGACCACCCCCAAACAAGGCCACGGTCCAAGGAGGAACATACAGTAACGACACGATCACCGGGATCAACATCGGAGAAAAACCCGTGGATGACGCTGGACGGTGCCCGGCACCTGGACATGAGGCCCAAGCGGCCTTCGGGGGTGTCCTCGCGGGCTGGTGAGCAGGGGAGACACATGTGGGCACGCTAGCTCGAGGCCCAGGGTCCACGGGTCCCCTAAGCTGCGGGGGGGGGGGGTGACCGGAGCACTGCTGGGTGTGCCACACACAGACACAGAAGGAAAAGGGTTTTCCGGGTTCTTGATGAACTCTGGCGGCCAAGCCTGTCCTGCAAGACGCGAGGGCCCCCTAGAACCATGATGTCACAGGAGGCCGCGGGGGGGGGGGGGGGCGGGAGGAGGTGCGCGCAGGGCCCCGGGCAGACTCCCGCCGACCCCCGCCCGGAGAACCCGGGGGGGGGGCGGGGGGGGCGAGAGCCAGCGGCGCGGCCGGCCGTGTGCAGCTACGACCCCGGCCCGGGGGCGCGGGGGAGGGGGCGGCGCAGGGGAAGCCGGGGGGCGGGGCGCCGACCCTGCCCGGCCGGGGTCTCCGAGGCGGCCGGCCCCAGAGCCACGCGGGGGGGAGGGGGCGGGCCCGGGCCTGGCCAACTGACCGCTCGCTGCCCGCCCGCCCGCCCGCCCGCCCGCCGCGCTCACCTTGACTCCCTCCGGGTGGAAGAGGTCGGCGTCCTCGGGGCTGTCCATCAGGATCTTGGGCCTGTCCCCGTCCTTGGCGCCCCCGGCGCTGTCCCTGCGGGGCGTCTTGTGGCCGGCCTGGCGCTCCAGCGCGGCGCGCTCGCTGCTCGTGTTGCCCATGGCGGGGGGCGGCGGGGCCCCGGGCGCGGGGCGCGGGGCGGCGGGGGCGGTGGGCGCGGCGCGGCCGGCGGCGTCTCACGATCGCGCGTCCCACCCGCGGCGACCCGAGCCCGCGCCTTCCCGACCACTTTCCCCCTCCGGCGCTCGGCCACTTCCGCTTCCGGCGCGGCCGTCGGGCGGGGGGCGGCGGCGGCGGCGGCCCGAGCCAGCGCGCGGCCGGCGCGACCTCACTTCCGTTTCCGGTTGGGGCCCTGCGGGGGGTGGGGGGGGAAACGAAAACCTGCGATTGCGCAGTCGCAGTCGCCCCCTCCGCGGCCGGAGCCGGGACGAGGCGTGGAGGCCGGCAGGGGGCGCACGAGCGCGCGGGCCGGGCTCGCGGCTCCCCGGGGAGGGGTGCTGGGTGCGGCGGGGGCAGTTTGCAGTGGGTGCGGCACGGGACACAGCCCCCCCAGGGTCTTTCTGACGCGTGGGTCTCATCAAGTGCCTCTCCTCCTTCAGGCCCGCCCGGGCGCTCGTGTTTTTGAGTGCCCGGGGATCACGGAGAGCGGCAGTTTGAAAACAACCAAAAAAGCGCATTTCCCTAGCCCTAGTCCCTGAAAATGGTGATTCTTGGAAACGCCAGCGCAGCTGCATTTTAATAAGCACTGCCGGGATTCTGGATTTGAGGCAGGGGGGAGTCGTGCAAGCGTTGGGGAAAAGCCACCAAAAGACCCCTGAAAACTCTCCCGCCGCCCCCCAACTCCCTCCCCCAAACCGGCTGGTAACTCAGGCGGTTAAAATGCTGGTATTGAGGCATTTTTAAAACTGAGGGCATGTGTATTTTTTTCTGCTGCCCTGAGTGCACAGCTTTTGATCGGTAATTTTAACAGACTTTTATCGTTATTTTGGACCCGCTCTTCTGCGTAAAATCTATTAGATTACTTACTGTTTATTATTTACTGTGGCCAGCACTTTAGCAAACCAGTTTAATACGAAAATAAGATACTCTAATTTCGTGATCACAGTTGTGTTTTGTTGTGTGTATCTTAAGATGCTTTGTATTTGCTGGGCCTGGGTACATTTTAGTCTACTGAGTAAACATTTATTCAGGATGTGCAGAACACCAGACAGTGTGCTAAATAAATGAGACTAAATAAGACTATTCTAGTCACTTTAGTAAACAACTGAAATATGGTCTCTTGGAGGGAATTTGGCCTTCTCTGTCAAAAATTTTAAAAATCTACCTTTATTTGGGTGTACAATCTTCTAGGAAATTTCTAGTGAATATACACAAGAGAATTATTTATAAGCACAATGTATTTGCGCCTGCCTCTGATTCCACGCTTTAATTCTAAGATAGATATTTATTTTTGATTTGGGGACCATACCTGGCAGTCCTCGGGGCTACTCCTGCCTTAATGCTTGGGGATCATTCCTGGTAGGGACTGTGTGCCAAGGATCGAACTTGGGCAAAGTGAAGTGCAAAGCAAGTGCCCAGCCCACCGACATCTCCCCAGCCCTAGGATAGGCACACACTGAAGTGTTTCAGATTCTGGGTGCATGTTGCCATCACTGGGATCTTGGATTTGATGAAATAAGGCCATGAAAAACTAGCCTGGAAGACAGAATGGCTCAGGAAGTCAAAGACATTCATGTTATGGTAACGAGCAACTTTGTTATTGAGGAAACAGGTCACTATGGAGAAGTATATGACATTCCAAATCTCAGAAGCTAGTGACAGAACAATAGAGATTCCGAGTGTGAGCTCCGAACTCAGCAGGCCTGGTTCATTCAAATTCTGGTTATACCAGTTTCTCCCCTTGTTTGTTGTTTTGTGAAATGGGGATAAAAATAAGACCTTCTGTTGGAGAGATGACACTGAACTCAAAGGCCTGAACCAAAGGAGCACACGCAAGCCCTGAGATTTGTCCCTGGCACCTCAGGCTCCCCCCTTGCCCCTCTACTGCTCCGCTGTGGGCTGCCCTGATAACTCCCACATCTGCTGAAGGAAAGCCCGACTCAGTATCCCCGATACCCAAATCCAGTATCCCCAACAGTGGCTCCGGGGCCCCTAACCACTTTACTTGGGAGATTCGCCCTCCCCCCTCCAAAAAACCCTCTCCTCCTTCATAGGCCTGTTGTGAATTGAGAACAACCATGAAGTGCTTAGCACAGTCCCTAACAGTAATCACCCTTAGAACCTTTTTTTGAAAAGCAGTATTATGTTTGCTTTCCAGATGAAACATTCTAGAAAGATATGAAACAAGCTGCTACTAGTGGTTGGATATGGGGACAAGAGTGGAATTGTGGGGCTGGAGCGATAGCACAGCGGGTAAGGTGTTTGCCTTGCACACAGCCGACCCGGGTTCGATTCCCAGCATCCCATATGGTCCCCCGAGCACTTCCAGGAGTAATTCCTGAGTGAAGAGTCAGGAGTAACCCCTGTGCATCACCGGGTGTGACCCAAAAAAAAAAAAGTGGAATTGGAACCGGGAAGGGAACTTTCACTGTTTACCTTCGTTTGAAAGTATAAATACAGAGAGCCCCAGGCAATGGGTTGGAGGCCGGGAGTACAGAAACAGAGACTAGTCACCAGCGCAAAGGCATGAAGGCAGGACCGCTTTAGTGATGTAGGAATTGAAGCCTGTATAAATCCCTGATAAATTGAGGCCTGATCTTACCTCAGTGCCACCCAGAGATAAAAAGCTACCACAGGAACAAAAGTCTGTGATAAGAATGTGAGAGAGGCCAGAGAGAAAGATAGTGCAGCTGGAAGGACCTGGCCTTACACACAGCCAACCCAGGTCCAAGCCCCGCCACCCCAGATGGCCTCCCAACCCCTGAGCACAGAGCCAGGAGTAAGCCCTGAGAACAACAGGGTATGATTCAAAAATTGGTCTGCAATGGTAGGCAGTGCAGCGGGAACATGGGAAAGCAGAAATGAAACCAGGGTGGGCCTGGCTCTCCGCAGCCCCTCCTCAACTCTTTGGTTTGGTTTGATTTTGTTTTGGGGCCACGCCCAGTGGTGCTCTTGGCTCTGTGCTCAGGGATCACTCCTGGCAGGCTTGGGAGACCACATGTGGTACATCTAATCCAGATAAGGGATGCACCCTCCCTGCCCACTGCAGTGTCTCTCCGGCCTCAGTAGTGGCTTTTCTTTTCCAGAGGAGATCCCCATATTCTAGGCCTTGCTCCCTGAAAACTCAGGTGGAGGGGACCAACTTCTCCCACAAAGAACAAGCGGATGGCAGGTGCAACTTGTCTGGGGTGATGCTGGCAGTGCCCAGCGCCCACTGTGCAAGGAGACGTTTTCGGTCCTAACCCCACCAGACCCCCTTCCCCAGGGTGGCCAAGGTGAAACAAGCCGGACAGTAGTGGCACTTTCTCCGAGATGTGATCTCTCTGGCTCCCTCTTCTCCAACTGGCATCGTTTCACGAGCCACCTGGGCTTTATAATTTTTGTTTTTTGGGGGGTCACACAAAGAGATGCTCAAGGATTACTTCTGCCTCTGTCCTCTGAAATTACTCCTGGCGGTACTTGGGGGACACTGTGAGATGCCAGGGATTGAACTAAGGTCAGCTACGTGCAAGGCAAGCGCTCTCCCCTCTGTGCTATCACTTCATCCCTTGGTTTTATAATTTTAAAACAAGTTTTTTTCAGAACACTTTAAAAGAAAAAAGATAAAGGGGAGAGAGAGAGAGAGAGAGAGAGAGAGAGACAGAGAGAGAGAGAGAGAGAGAGAGAGAGTGCACTCATGCTTAGCATGTAGGAACCCTGGGCTCAGTCCCTGGCACTGCATAGACCCCAATTTTAGAGAGGAGTGATCACCCCTCACCCTAGCATCTCACTAGGAATAGCTTTTGAGGGTAGTGGATTGATTGTGGTCCCAAAAATCAAACACACAAACACCCAAAAATAAATACATCTTGGTTCCTACCCCAAAGGACTATACAGTAGAGGCAGAAACAGATACACACACACTGGCCAAGCGTTCTCGGGAAACCCAATGTGAAGACGTGTCAGACCAGTGGACGATCCAGAATCGCTTCTTGGAGCTGTTTTTCCCGTTCGGCAGAGAGAAAGCCTTGGCATAAGGACCCTGAGGTTTGGGTCCTCTCCCAATCGCCCAAGCGACAGGAAGAACACGGGAGAGCCGCAGAGCCCTTATCTCGGTGCTGCAGAGCCCACGCCTGAATGGTTCCAGGCTTCTGCTCTGGCCCAGGGACAAGAACAGGACTGAGTCGGGGCCCCGGGGACCAAGCACCATCAAGTCTTAGCCTGAGGATGCTTTCTGGAGTTTTCCACCAATGCACTGGCTCAGGGACTGCGTGCTATAGAGATGACCCCAGGAAGGGAAGGGAAGCAAAATCCCCGTGGCATAAGATCTCTTGGAGGGGGCCTGCACTCTCGGTGACGGTGACGCTTGTCCTTGTGCAGGGGACACTTGCAGGTGTATAAACAACTCCCTTTTGGGGGTTTCTCCACATTTCCCCAGGAAAACCCCCACCCCCGGATTCTGATCAGAGTGGAGGCTGCTGGCCCTCCCAGCCCCCCACTTCCTTCTTAGTTTGTTTGCCTTTGCTTTTCCTCCGACTGACCTCTTTCTTGCTCCTGCCTCTGTCATAACCTCTCCCGCGAGGTTTTCACGCGATTAAACATGTGTAGTTTTTCTCTCTTGTCTGTCTCTCTGGACTCACTTCAAATGTGTGTCAGCCTGGAAGAACCAGGAGGGGAGGCTGGGTGCAGAACTGGGTCGGCCTTATGCAAGCTCTATCTCTTGTATTATCTCTTCAGCTCGCTGATGCCTTTATTTTGGGGGCCTGGGGGCCTCTGGGCTTACTCCTAGCTCTGCACCCAGGAATCACTCCTGGTGTGCTCAGGAGACCATATGGGGTGCCGGGGATCAAACCCAGAAACCCAGGTCTACCTTACCCACTGAACTATCTTGCTGGGGCCCTGACTTTTTTTTTTTAAATAATTCTCCATGTTTCTCTCCCACCACTATGCTGTATACAGTTACTCTGGCAACCCTTAGAAACATGAAATATGGCCAGAACCTTTGTCCCATTTGGGAAGTGGGAAGAGAACAGGAAAGGCAGAAAGACTAAAGTTTCAAGAGAGATTAAACAAAGGAAGCCAATGTGTTTCTCCTTG